GGACGGAGATTTGGAAAATAGGCGTGATTTATTATTTGTTGAGCGATTATTAAGGAAATTGATTCGTTCTCGAGTCGGGGTCCATCGATTTGTATTCTGGGTAAAAATCAATGTATCTGAATATAACCTGATTGTATTTATCCCGTGTACATCAAGGTACATTTCGATAAATATATCTATTCGTAACCTGGATACAAATCAATGGTCCCCTTCTCGAGAACGACTGTGTTATGATCTTGTCCGGACGTTTTTCGATGATTTTTTTAGGGGATTTGTGCTTGAAATATGTCAAAATTTATGAGCGCAACTTGGAAATGATATTATCTTGCCATTTACTTCCACGGAATAAGACTACAAATCGATGTCGACGGACGAATTTTGTTTGAAATTGTGATCCGACTAAAAAAGTACATGACAATATTTATATGATGTATTGTAAAAGTAATTTGCACATTTCTTTGTAAAACAAGCATCCACAAATCCGTGGAATATTCTACAATGGATAACAACGGAGAACCGTCGCTACCGTGTCACAATCTGCTTGCTAGTTTAACACGATGGTGACTGCTTACAAAAAGAATAAAAATCTGCGTAATGTTCTTGTCCATGGTAGATTAGATCGCCTTTCATTATCTCTCTGAAGCAATTGCTTTGCATTTTTGAAATATTTGCTTCTCCAGGAGGAGGTAACTTGATGTATTCTAATGCTGAAATCCATGGTCTCTTCTTGTGACCTAGGCCAGTGCTTCTATAAGAGAGTCTCTCTTATAAAACCTTATACGATATTTCCTATATTTCAATGGAAACCTCTACTGCGATAGCGTCTTTGGTTACCAATAGAGAAAGAAGACCAACTATCATCATCATTACAGACCTCATGTAGAATAAGAAATAATCATCCAGAGGAAAAGGATTTTTAAATATAAACTTACATTTTATGATTTATTTTAACCACAGCCAATGAGAGGCGTGATGTAAGCATACAATTTTAAAATTGATTAAGCTTTTAGCCCGTATGTAGTAACATATTCCATCAAATCTTGAAGAGTAAGAATCAACATTTCACATTTGCGGAGTTTGAGTGTCTATTACATTCCCAAATCATCATAATAATATATAGTTTATTAAAGGGATTGTCAAAACGTTTCAAAAATTTTTGTTGTGGATAGGGGAGGATGCTATCATCAATTTGCATCATTCCAATTTTCTGCCAGACGTCTGTTGTTCATGCAATTCCACTAAAAATTTGTGTTCGATGACGTCACAAATCGTAAAATATTCCTAAGGTAATAAAGCAAAAGGTTTTCACGTACCACGGACTGAAAGGAAATTGGTCGATTTTTCGCGCTCACTAATGCTGTACAAAATTAACATCAGAATATTCCAAGAAAAGGTATTTCAGACGGTCAATGGCTGGATTATGTCTTTAGCTTAGGCTTAGACTAACGCCTAGACTCATTTCTCCACTAAAATAGAAGGATCTATTTTTGACGCTTACGGATACGTACCACGTTTGCGCAACTACGATCGAAAGGAGTCTGGGCTTAACAAGAAACAAAGTAAACCCTTTTAAATTCACGAATTAGTACACGGAGAAAAATTTAATTAAATGTAAATTACACGAAACCAGATTTCATAACATGTAATTTACAGAAGGATATTTACACATCAATGGTTCTCATCATCTGTGACAACTATTATAGAATATTCAACTGACTACAGTATTCAAGCCCCGTGGCTCATTTACGAACACATAATGTGGTGTATAAAATTTATTTAATTAAACTTAATTCCGTAGAAATTTCTACTAACAGGTAGCTGCAAGTTCTGCACCAGTGATTAATCATGTTGTCTTACTCAGGGACCCCAGATGAATTTCTTTATTTTTCTGGCCAGTGGTATTTTTTTTTTAAATGAAACAAATAAATATTTGGTTTGAGGAACGAAATGATTTATTTATAGGGAATGACTTCCAAAGCATCCATGAAATGATAAGTCTCCCATTTTACCCCACATTGGAGCCTCTGGCCCCCTTGACCTTCAGCTAATTTTCTATTTCCTCTATCCCTGTTTATTTCATCTTCAGAAATCTGTTGGTTTTTTTATGTTGCCCATCCACACAGAGACTGATACATACCATAAAAATCCGTACGTGCAAAACTTTTCCATTAACCAAAGTAAAACCGGTATGTTTTCGTGTGATATTTGCATTTATGAACGTTCTGAAGACCTGGAAACTAGAACAGATGTAAATAGTTGCCATCTGCTGCCAAATTATAAAAAAATAGTATAAAAATGGCTTCTAGGTGTCATATCGTATTATGGTGATAATGAAGCCTAACCTTAAAAAAAGGTTTTTGGATCATATGATTGTAGACAGTTCTCTAATTTCCCTGGCCAAGATTGTCCCCAGTATATCCTAACTCCTCCATATTTTAGTACCACCCCAGGCGTCTTCGAGGATTGCAAAATAAACATTTGCTGAAATCATTTTCATTAATATCAATGAACAAGCAAGCTTTCTTTGTTAGTGTTACATTAAGCATAGAAAGAACATAGTTGAACATGATTAAGGCAGAAAAAGAAGCACTTCATAAAGTCTTAAATCTTAGTCGGAAACAGTTTCTTTGTTTCAATTATTATAATTACAATTAACAACATCGTTTTGGTTTATGTCTGTTCCAAGCATACTAAATTGTAGCACATCTATTTCCACCCCATAGGTATCAGCTGAAACCGTGATGGTCACAGTGTGTTCACCTTTTTGCAGAGTCTGCTCCGTTCCAATTCGTCCTGATCTATAAAACACGTTCCAATTGTGTCCACCATTTGATCCGCTTATAGATTGGAAAGTACCAAGTACCTCATCGTCCAATCTGACTTCCATGGTATCTGACTCACCATCATTGGAGCTACGGATGTTATCAAGAACAACACGTGTAGTTGCAGGAACACAAAATGTGAAGGATGCTACGTCCCCATTGCTCAGTTTAAGAACTTGTGAGTTAGATGCTTCTGATCGGGAATTGATCTCATATTGTCCCTGGACGGCTTCTCCCTCAATGGATATAGATTTGTAACGACAATTGATGGTGTCTTGGTCATCGTTATTGTTAACTTCTAACTGTATGTTATCAATCTCAACACCATACTGATCAGCAGTGTCAACTTTGACGTATAATTTATGTCTTCCAGAATTCATCTGACTCTGTCCGACCTCACCAGATGATCGAAACACGTTCCAATTCTGTCCATTATTTGCCTCTCCTGTTGTCTGGAAACTGCCGATGGTATCGTCATTAACGATGACATCTATTCTATCTGTACCTCCATCGTTTGAATATCTAATATTCTTAACTTTTACTAGGGCACTTTCCGTCAGACAGAATTCATACGTTGCTTTGTCATCCTCGCTTAATTGCAGAGTCTGTTGATTCGACGCTTCTGATCTTGAATTGATGACGTTTTTGTTGTTTTCTCCTTCAATGAAAACTTCCACTGCAATAACTTGTTTAATTACCAATAAAGAAAGAAGACCAACTATCACTACCATTACAGACATCATGTAGTATAAGAAACAGTCATCCAGAGAACAAGGATTTGTTAAATATTGACTCGCATTTTATAATTTATTTTAGCCACGGTGCAATAAGCAGCCAATCTACAGCCAATTAAAAGTGTGATTGCTAAATTGCATAATAATAAAGTTTATTAAGCTACTCATCGATCAATGTTTAGAGCGTTTTTTATACGCCCACATGAATATGTGGTCGTATATTGTCGTCGCCCCTGTCCGTCGGTCCGTCAACATTTCTTGTGAGCACTATAGAGACTACAGTTTTTATCTGATTTTGATCAAACTTGGTGTGCTGCTTTAGATTGATAAGATCTCGGTCAAGTTCGAATTTAACATATTTTCGATGAACGGTTTTTGAGATATTGCCCTTGACTTAGTTAAAACGCGTTGAAATTTGTTAAAAATAGTTCGTGAGCAGGATTGAAGCTACAGTTTTCAACCGATTCTGATGAAACTTGATGTGATCATTGGAATTGATAAGATCTCGGATAAGTTCTAATTTGACGCATTTTCGATGAACGGTTTTTGAGATATTGCCCTTGACTTAGAACGCCTTGAAATTTGTTAAAAATTGTTCGTGAGCAGGATTGAAGCTACAGTTTTCATCCGATTCTGATGAAACTTGGTGTGATCATTGGAATTCATAAGATCTCTGACAAGTTCTAATTTGACGCATTTTCGATGAACGGTTTTTGAGTTATTGCCCTTGACTTTGTTAAAACGCGTCGAAATTTGTTAAAAATAGTTCGTGAGCAGGATTGAAGCTACAGTTTTCAACTGATTCTGATGAAACTTGGTGTGATCATAGGAATTGATAAGATCTCGGACAAGTTCTAACTTGATGCATTTCTGATGAACGGTTTTCGAGTTATTGCGCTTGACTTTGTAAAAACGCGTCAAAATTTGTTAGTGAGCACAATAGAAGCATTGAAATTGATAAGATCTCGGACAAGTTCTAACTTGACGCATTTTCGATGAAATGTTTTTGAGTTAATGCCATTAACTTACGAAAAACGCGTCAAAATTTGTTTGTGAGCACAATAGAAGCTTCAGTTTTCAACCGATTCTGATGAAACTTGGTGTGATCATTGGAATTGATAAGATTTCGGACAAGTTCTAACAAGAGATATTTTTGATGAACATTTTTTTAGTTATTGCCCTTGACTTTGTAAACACGCGTCAAAAGTTGTTTTTTGCCCTTGATTAGAGCTGTGTGATTTAATTGTTTGTTGTATTTGGGTTATTGATATTGATTTTAAAAAAATTTGTGGAATTATTCAGCATAAATAATTTCTTCAATATGAGAAAATTCGTACTTTAGTCACTAAAGACTGTTTTATTATTTCTGACGGCTGCCAGTGGGCGTATGTTACCTTGCAACTCAAGCTATCTTCATAAAATTTATAAAAAGTGCTATGCTATTAAATTGTATTCTCCTTTAGCATGGCATGATATTTTAGCTCGTACGGTTACATATTCCATCAAATCGGAGTTTGAGCGTCGAGTGGACCTATTCTTTCGTCCTCCCGAATGATATAATAATAACATAAGGTATCGCTCTACAACTGTAAATTGATGTATTTTTTTAAATGGTTCAGCTGTAATTTCACGAAAAGATGTCTAATATTCCCTGAAAAAATATGAGGTCAAAAACTTTTTAAATATCCTGAAATGAAAATTGTTACTGTTTTTTTCTGGACCAGTTCTCATCGCAATCTTATAATGTATTTCTTTCTTACCAAGACGTCAAACTCGATTGGTCGGGTTGATTTACAAGAACAGAGGTTCGCTAATTGAAATCGTGACATATTTTGACGCAACTGAGTCAATCTCGATTGAACAGTTTTCAAAAATGAATTTACTCTACCTTTTCTCAGATCATGAATGAAATTGCCATATAGACGGTATTAAAGGGACTGAAAGTGGTTTTCTAAAACATCAGAATGCAAAATGACATTAAAAACAGTATTTTAATGAGAAAGTCTTTTCAAACTTACGTAAGCATTAAGTTCACGCTTGTTATTAATTACTCTGCTGTTTGAAATGAACAGTTTTTCAGTTGTGCTAATGGACGTATTAATATTCAGAGAGTCCTCTGTTTGCCTTTGAAATTGTTCATTAACTTCCTACATTGTTTATTTGTCGAAAAACATATTAAAGATGGGATTCCTTATTTTTTAGTGTCAAATTTTGCAAACTATTTGATAAATAGGTGTTTCTAATGAATTATCATGTATTCTTAATCATATCATTATGTTCTTATTGCAATTGATTAACATGTACAGTCTGGATGAACAAACAAATACTTTTTGACCTTTCTTGATCGGTCACTCATTGGAATTCTACTGATAATCCTCTTCTAATTTAGCTAATTAGAATACCTCTACTTTCTATTCATATAAGTATTAGCATTTTCATTTTCATAAATGAAAATAAGGGAATCCATCTTTAAGTAAGTAGGACAGTTTTCAAAATTGACATATTGTCATGTTTTGTGAGTGGAGGAAAAATGAAATGTGAAATTTTCTGACCAATCAGATTCGTAATTGTAATTTGCAAACTTGCATCAAAGAATGATTGCTACTTGTATAGATGCGCGCGCTGTGAAATGTTCGAACTATAATAAGATATATGTGTGAAATGTTTAAGGACGGAGATTTGGAAAATAGGCGTGATTTATTATTTGTTGAGCGATTATTAAGGAAATTGATCATTTAAAATACTGAATTTAGAACCTCATCGCAAATAGATTCGTTCTCGAGTCGGGGTCCATCGATTTGTATTCTGGGTTAAAATCAATTTATCTATATATAACCTAGTGGTATTTATTCCGTGTACATCAAGGTACATTTCGATAAATATATCGATTCGTAACCTGGATACAAATCAATGGTCCCCTTCTCGATAACGGCCGTGTTATGATCTTGTCCGGGTTCCAAGTCAGGGGTTTTTCGATGATTTTTTTTAAGGGGTTTTGTGGTTGAAATCTGTCAAAATTTATGAAAGCGTCTTGATGATATTAAGCCATATTAACTTCTACGCTACAATTTTCAATGGGTTTTGATGAAACTTGGTGTGACCATTGGGATTGATAAGACAGCGGTCAAATTCGAATTTGACGATTTTTCGATGAACGTTTTTTGAGTTATTGCCCATGACTTAGTACAATCGCGTCAAAATTTTGTTGTGGGCATAAGAGAAACTACAATTTTCAATGGATTTTGATGAAACTTGGTGAGAGCATTGGGATTGATAAGACGGTGGTCAAGTTCGAATTTGACGATTTTTCGATGAACGGTTTTTGAGTTATTGCCCTTGAATTTGTAAAATTGCATCAAAATTTTGTTGTGGGCACATTAGAAGCTACAATTTTCAATGGATTTTGATGAAACTTGGTGTGAGCATTGGGATTGATTAGATGGCGATCAGGTTCGAATTTGACGTTTTTTGAGTTATCGCCCTTGACTAAGTAAAATCGCGTCAAAAATTGTTTGTGGGCACAATAGAAACTTCAATTTTCAATGGATTTTGCATAATGAAAATGATATTATTAATATTCATGAGTGGTTTTCCCAACTATGTCATTATTTTGTTTTATATCATTACCAGCTGCGTGCTACACTATTTTTTAAAGAATATACATGTATTTAAAGAAACGTCTACAATGTTTTGTTTTGGTTGTTTTGTTGTTCACACTGTGCATTAAGAAGACAATATTGGTGATAAAACAAGAGAAATCAGATATTAGGTCCATTGTCTTGTAATATAACCATGGCTTTGTTTCTTTATTTGATTATTTCCCTTAGTTTAAACATTGTGTCGGAACATCGTGTCTAACTTTGAACATCGTGTCGTTGTTTGAACAGTATGTCGTTGTTTGATCATTGTGTCTAGTATAGTTAAAGCGTTGTTTTTACATTGGTTTTTAACATTGTATCTTAGGTTGAACATCTTGTTTTAGGGTTGAGTATCGCGTTCTGGTTGAGTGTTTAGGTTGAATATTGCAGTCTGGTTAAGTGTTTTTGAACACCGCGTTCTGGTTAAGTATATTAAGTTGAACATTGCAGAGAATTTAAGTGTCGTCTTTTGAGCATTTTTAATATAAGGAATACGGTAATAGCGTTTACAAATGAGCTGATTGCTGATTAGAGTCTGGTTAGAACACAATTGGGGCAAACTGCCGAATCACTTCACTTGAATAGGAATTGTGTACCAATTTAGTAGTATTAAATGTAATTTAAAATCAAAATGATAAATTGAGATGTTATCAAATGCCTTTAACCTACCGAAAAGTTCATTCATATAATTATTTGTGTTTATACAATGGCTTGTAGCGTCATCCACCAAAAAACATCAATAGAGATCAAACGTTTCGTAGACTTCATATTACCAATCTTAAAACACGTCCAACCATTCGTAAATATTTGTTGGTAATATCAACATGGCAAATTTAACAGGAAATATTATTTTGGCGTTGATATTAGTATGGTATAGAGAAGTTGGATCTGTCAAAGTTGGTATAGAAGCCGAAAGCACTACTGCAAGTTTTCCGAAGCATTATCGTTCCTTGGCGTCTAATGGTCAAACGCTTTATCTGCACCAAAATGACTATGTGACTTATAATTTCTGTTTAATCAAACCAACATCTGTAATCTTAGAAGACGTTATAACATCAAACGATGGACCAGCGGATACCATCCAAGTGAAAATTAATGATGGTGTCATTGGAACTTTCCAGTCTGTTGCAGGATCGAATTATGGATTCAACTGGAACGTGTTCTCACCTTCAGGTCAAATTGGTCAAACCTTAAACCTTGGAGCCGGCCAACACAGTATATCAATCTATGTTATAGCAGCTGACAATTTTGGCGTTGAAGTCGATGTTTTTAAATTTGATGTTTTGGACGATGAGGTTAGCAAAGATACATTTACATGTTATCTGAAGTGTATTGACACTCTACCAAGTGTAACAGCATTGCCGGGACTTATTCAAAGTAAAGCTGTTCAAAAGAGTTATTCTACAATGTGCACTGAAGAAGACAACGTCGACGTAGCCATTTTCAACAAAGGTATAGCGGAATATGAGATCACTGCTACTGCTCCTTTGTATGACACCTCTATGAATATGCGACATCCTGATACTACAAACTGTCCGTTTTTAACCCCAATTTACTGGTTGTACGAGGACGTGGTTATATCACCGACAACAGCTGCCCAGACTTCGAACGACTCCATCCTTCAATTTAGACAAAAAAGTTCCGATACTACTGAGATGTTAGTGACTTTTACTCTAAAAGGAAAGAAAAATGGCTACATTGATTCTAATATCGGATCTAAATTGTTCATGAACATGGAACCACCAGCAGTATCAACGGAAGTGACAGTTCGCTATCTTCATAGAAATGGAAGCGTCATTACATTTGATCCAGTAACCTTTGACTCTTCTGTAACCGCTCATACCTGGGACGTTCCTGACTTTACTTGGAAAGAAGATATTGGCAATTACATTTTCATTGATGTCAAGTCTGCAAACGGTAACCAGATTCTCTCTAATTTTAAAATGGAAAGAAGATATATGGGTCCAGATCAAGTAGTTTCTATCTATGAGACGAGCACATTACGGATAGAAGGCGTTAAGATCGACTTTTGGTGGCAGGCTCCAGAAAATATGGAAGTAACACTGACAACAAGTCAAGAAATATGGAACGACATTGCCTACTTCCGCATAGCAAACCTCCAAACAGATGGATTTGCCCAGGTTTTTGTTTTGTATCAGGATGGTAACATGCGATTGCTCTATAAGACACCGTCACAATTTGATTGGATTCCATTCGGAACATCGGTCATCTTAGGACAAACAAAAGTAGATGACTTCCGACCTGCTGTCTCGATCAACAAAGTAGACATCAATCCACAAGATTTGACTATGGAATTAACCTATGACGACAACAGTAAGACAACTCTGAAGGTGATTCCATCAGCCAGCAAAACTACTTTACAAGTGTACGAAATGGATTTAAAGAAAAACAAGGAAACACATCCTTTCGCAACGTTTCGATCAATGTACGTTGAGACTGGTAATAATGATGCCGATAATATCATCAGTGATCAGTCCTCAACCAAACGAGTTCTTGGTGGATCCTGGAAAGAACTACTTGGAAACACTTTCATGATGTATCGACGCTGTGAATCGAAGCATCTGACTCAAAGTCCAGATATAACAGTTACTGTAACAAAAACAGAACTTTGAATTTTTTAATACTGAATTTCAAAATGTTAACCACAAATGTTACCGACAGTTTGCATTATTTTTCTATGCACGATGCAGGAGGAAATGATCAATTGGACCTACAAATTGTTTTAAATAATTTGCTAAACCATCGATTGATATAGATCAATTTCAGTTATTATCTTCGGATATCGGATATTAATTTTGAAAACTGATACATCATCTGAAATTGATCTCTCAGTTAGTCAAGGAAATGTTTAAATGATTTAAGATGGCATCCTAGAAATTTTTCCCTTTATTAAAATGATTTAGTTTGCGTTAATTGTTTGTATGTGATTTTTACAATTTTTGTTATACGCTTATAATTGTTTATCTATGCTTCGTTATAAATGCTTTTCATATACTTTCTTGCTTTTTGAACTGGTTTGTTGTAGTTTATTGGCCATAGGACAAGGGTTGCCCGAAAGGTACAAGCCTGATTGCTTTCAGCATGAACAAAACTAGAACCAAAGTAGAGAAGTACGACTGCCGTGTTTTAAAAATAATCCTGAAAGCCCATTGCAAGTATTTCCGGACTATCCTGTACACAACATGCACTTCAGTTAATAAAAATGAATTTTGGTAATATTGATATCGACGCTTTGTCAATTTCAATAAAATTTGCGAAACTAGCTTGTAAAAGAGATTCTGATATTGAGTGATTGGCTCTTAAAAGCTTGTAGAGGTGCCAGGACGCAACTGTGTTATATAACAACAGCTTCATGACGTTAAATTAAAAAAAAATACAGAAATTTAAAAAAGAACACCAATTTGTAAAAATGTTGTAGTTTTTATATAACTCATTAGATTACATAACACGAAAGTTTCAGAATAAAGAAACGAAATTATATACAACTTTTAATATGATTAAGCATCTCATTAGTTTTATCTGGCAAGATATTTAAATTAAAAACTCTGAGATAGATTTTGGTGTAAACTCTTCATATATTTGATAAAAAAAAATTTCAACCTACTAAAAAAAAAAAATCAGACTGCCCTTAAAAAGAATTGTTTATTGTTTACTTGTCTCGGAAAATGTTACCTGTGGTTGACAGACATTGATTCACCATAAATTCTCAACAAAAAAAACTTACTCAAAGTGAAAGTTTTGCTAGCGCTGTGCAACATATCACGGTAGTGAATGATAGCCATAATGTACCGAAACTATCTCTTAAAGATGGGTTCTCTTATTTTCATGTATGAAAATGAAATTGCTAATACTTACATGAATAGAAAGTAGAGGTGTTCTAAAGACTTGGAAAAATACCAGTTTGTCTCACATGTCCATTATCAATTCATAATTAGCTAAATTAGAAGAGAATTACCAGTAGAATTCCAATGAGCGACCGATCAAGAAAGGTCAAAAAGTTCTTTTTTGTTTACCCAGACTGTACATACATGGATATTTATGATTGGTTAAAGCTCTTAATCATATGCAATAAGAACGCTATGGTATGATAAGATTACATGATAATTCATTAGAAAAACCAATTAATCAAAATGTTTGCTTAATTTGACACTAAAAAATAAGGAAAACCATCTTTAATTATCACGTAATTGCGTGATTTTGGTAGCTCAAACGCATAGGCTGGTCGTTCAGGACTACAAGCGTTTGAAAGATACGGATGCAAAATGATAAAGATAGTCACATTCAAGCATTAAATGCATAATAATTAAAGTAATGAAATATTCAGGTCGCGATAAAACTATCATTTCACTACTAATAATTGTGAAATGCCGGAAGTAATATCTCGACCAAGAAGAAACAACAAAATCTACCATTCATTAGCGGGGCAGATTCAGCTTTACGGAAACTCCGAGGGTTGCTGAATGCAGTATTTTTTTTATACGAGTTTATCGAAAAAGCACATATCTCTTTCATCATCTCAAAATGTGCAGACATTCATATATATATCTAGACTTTTTAACCAATATTTAAAAAAAAATCGGTTATGAATGAGCATTAAAAGCCTTGCTGATAGTAAATCTTTTATCGCACCAGAGAACATGTATTGTGTTACTGCTTTTCAATCCGGGCGCATAAAATTATAGCACATTTTTATCTTTTCGAAAAAATACCTCTTCAATAACGATATTATCTCGCTTTTTGTATTTGGTTAATGAACCTATTTGTGATATGAGGTTATTAGGTCTAGGGCCAATATCCTTACGAACAACCGCTATAATGACACACTACTCAATAAATATAACGCTTGGCTTTTTTGCGTCTCATTTCACTATGAAGCAACGTAGGCCAAACGGTTATTTGGTGGGTAACTTGGATCTGTTCCAATTCTTCGATCATTGAGGTTCGGGGAAACACTTCACAAGAAACGACGTTTTGTATGAGTAACATCCGCCCTTGTAAATTCCTACGTAGATAGGCCTATATGATTTCAAGCGTCTGAAAGATTGGAAACAAAAGAGACTCAAGGCTATTCCATATCTTCCAAATAGTCTGAACTCAAGGGCTTTGTGTGTTTAATGATTGACTTCTCCTAAGCACTGGCATAACGAAGGCTTAGTAAATGATATTTCATCCCGTTCTGATATCATTATAAAATAACCATATTTATATTCTCGTAAAATAAAAATATTTTATACCGTTTATGATTTAGCGGATCGTTTTATAATAATAATAAACTCCTTAATTTACATTGATCAGAAATTGGTCCAACCTCTAAAGTGACATGGTCCTGTCTATGGCCCATAGGGACTCCAGTAGATATTTAGAGTTAAACTATTTTTTTGCTCTTTTTGATTGTTTGTGTTGATTAGTAAACCTGAAAGCGCGTGCCTTCATGACCAATCTTTCAGCTTGATGGATAGTTCGTCTTTTACCATAACATAAACGTAGTCATTAACTAAATTTCCATTATTGATCGTACAGACCGTCCTTCCTTATAAAATAGGCAATCGGAGCACGTACTGGCCGTATCCAACAAGCACTAATATATCATTCACATCTAAATTATCAATCTATATATACGAAATGACTGGGAATCTTACAGCTGTCGAGGTCGGTGTGGGTGGTGGATTGATTCAAAGAGGACATAGAAATCGCCACAGAGATGTATTTAATCTGGCGAATATCAAATTCATTGGTTAAAAATATCAATATTTCAGTGATATGCGTTTTTTTATTTTAACGGGATATGATAAATTGTTTTAAGAATTAAGAACTCGATTTTCTAACGATTAGTCGCTTGTGTTACAGTTTTTAAGTTTCCTCATATACAATCTTGTGCATATTTTGTCCCCGGGTGTAATATTGTTATCAAACATGTTATCATCCATTTCCAAAACAGTGCCCAGGGAAGCGATTTACTTCTTGAGCAGACTCGACTTTCTTATCATTCTACTTAGGAAAAGCAAAGTCTCTGAGCCCCCCTTTGTAAATAAGGTGGTCCCCAACTAATGATTTATAGAAAGGACACTTTTTTGGTGTTGATTAAATTAATTTTCTTGCTCATCTCTAAATTGCTTACATCAAAAGTAAAAAGAACAAAATGTTCGTTTCATGATTACACCAAATACATTTATATTACCGTTTACATGTTCACTAATCAATTGGCCCAAGGTCTATTTATGATTAAGGTATGGTCGATATTATACGACGGTACCACACGAATCGTTTACTATTATAGTATATTTCAATTCCATAGAAAGCTATAGCAGGAATCTTCTCCAAGCCGACAACCAGTGCCTATTGATTTTATCGTCTACAATGCTGAATGGATTATAGTTGTAGCTGTTAGACAGATTCACGTATCTTTCGGAATTTGTGCAACTTAATTTGTGAATTTGTGAGGACAGTTAAACAAAATGGGGGATTACGATTCTCCAGAAGATCGGAATACCATGTCTCCATCAGAATCAAAGGAGTATCGTCAAACAGCTGCCAATTTAAATTCGCAGCACTCAGCGTCCAAAACCCAATCCAAAGGTCGTCGCGATATTTTGGACAATATATTCACGTATGTAAATAGAGACCTGTTCGTATGTAAACTGTTTTATTTCTTCTTTTTCGGAGCCTTTGGTTCTTTGTTTCCGTTGATGGCTATTTATTTTAAACAGCTTGGAATGAATGCTTCTCAGGGTGGCGTTCTGATTGGATTTAGGCCGTTTATCGAATTTTTGAGCGCCCCGTTTTGGGGAGGTGTGGCCGATAGATGGAAGAGGGCCAAAGAACTGCTTCTGTTCTCCTTGTTTTGTTGGATTGTGTTCACATTATCAATTGCCTTCGTGCACCCGCCTGCTCATAAATGTTTATACAATAACAAGACGCATACGGTGTTAGAAAATCCCCGCAATCGACGAGATGCATCATGTCTACCAGAGGATTTCGACTCCAAAACGTTAGATTTAAAATTACCGTGCCCTAATGAGCATGAAAAACCGTGGATACTCTTACCTCAGCCTATGAAAAGGGGAACTGGACAATCTCCCCATCGTTTAGATCATAACAAAATAGTCAATGCCAATAAATCAGACGTCGAAGGTCTGGTACATTCTCCCTACAGTACCGTGGTGTATAAAGAAGGCGAAGTGAAAGAAGTCTTCTTTATATTGTTGCTTATTGTGGTTATTGGAGAATTCTTTTCGGCTCCAGCAGTCACCTTCGCTGACGCCATGACCTTAGCGTGTCTTGGTGATGACACTGATAATTATGGTCGACAAAGAATGTTTGGAAGTTTGGGTTGGGGTATCAGCATGTTTTTTGCTGGTTTGGCTTTGGACCACTCTACCACATTCCCCGAACATCCTTGTGGAACTCAACATGCAGCTGAAAAGAACTATACAGTTTGTTTTGCTATATTTTGTGTTCTTATGAGTGCAGCTTTTGTTGCCGCTCTCCAGTTTCGATTTGACTATATTGGACACCGTAAAGAAATCCAATTATCTGAAATCACCGAAAAGGTGAAGGACATTGTAAGAAGAGCTGTAACTGGACAGAGTCGAATCGACCGGGAACGTTTAGTAGAAAGCGACGATGATGATGCTGTCTTCAAGCCAGAACTTGGCTCAACAGCTTACAATAAACAAAACAATGCCTATTCCGATTCTACAAAACAATCGAATCACGAAGATTTAAATATCAAACTTAACCACCAAAATGACATGGTGTCAGACGTCACAAGGGCGCCAAACCAGTATACACAAGACGATGGCCACTTTTTAGGAAAATGGGTGACTGTTTTCAGACTTCTTGCAAACTATAAATATCTGTCTGTACTATTTATAGCCTGGTTTATGGGTTTTGGTATAGGTATTATCTTCACTTTCCTCTTCTGGCATCTACAAGATCTTGGTGGAAGTCCTACTTTGTTTGGTGTAGCATCAGTTATAAACCATATATCAGAACTTCTTGCTTATTTTATGAGTGCAAAATTCATTGCTCGTTGGGGTGAGTATATGAAGCCTTTAGTATTTTGTATGTAGCTTTTAGTACCCCTTTTTAGTTTATTTATCTGTTCATTGAATGCCGGAAAAGGATAGTGTAGTATCTCACTATTTATGTTCTATGCTTGGTTCACAACGAAACCTCTGGCTAAAATAGACTAGTTTTGGATGAATTTCACTTTTCACCTAATTGTCCACATATCATCAGCCTATACTCTTGAATCAAAAGTTTTAATTAGACAAATCCGGAAGAAATATCATGTAAATGATCTAAATGAATGATGCAAGATTTTTTTATATCTCAGACCATTTGGTTAATCTAATATTCATGACCTGTGTTGTAATGTCGTGTTTGTTGAATGTCTTATCCTCATGAATCTTAACCAACTTTATTGACCCAAGCAAATCAATAAAACCTATTTGTCGGCTTGATTCTGATTTTGTCAACTTCAGGTTTTGCCATAACGAGATTTGTTTGAAATCCCTCGGCAGTTATATATCACTAGCTACATTTCTAATAAAGTCTGAAGTATATTTCATGCAATCCACAGATGGAATATAATTTAGTTACGCTGTGAATATTCGAAGTTTTTACACGCACACACAATAACTGTCGTCTGTTAGCAGGTCTGTTGACAGACTCTGTTAACTTAAGTACAGCGTCCTATTATAATTGTTCTATATCTATTTATAATTTCAAACTGTTCAAGAGACAGATGCGCCATTCGGGGGGTTGATTTGAGTATTGAGTATAATATGTAAGCCTACATATAAATAGCCTTCAGAAGTACTAGAAGTGTACGAAAATTTGAATTTTCTTCAGAAATATCTCAAACTAGGAATTTCTTAATTCTTATTTCTATAAAATGTCTTTTCTTTATATATAAGGCAGTGTTTCAAGAAAAGACGACTCGTCTTTTCAACTTTCAAACGCAGATAATTCTGGATACATATTTAAAGGCTCAAATTTCGACGATGAACTTTGGACACTATTACGAATTGACTCAGCTAAAATTCCTGTTTCTGAGACTAAGGTATAATTGTTAAAAAAAAATGGCGCATCTGTCCCTTTTCTGAAGAGAGCTTGTCGATGAAATCGGGTAAGTGGGAATAGGGTTTTTGGTCGAAGGAAGGCTCTCTTCAAAGTTGTTACTATTATTATTCAAATATTAAATAAAATTTCAAACTGAATTATAAAATGCTCAGAATTTTATGTAATTTGATAGCATGGGAAAGGATACATCGTGTCACATCATGCCATTGACGTTCTCTTGCTCAATTATAAGTGCTAAGAATAAGAAGATGAAACATCGAGAATAGTATCAGTAAAGCGGAAATAAATCTGTCTGGAGAATTGAAATGTAAGATGAAAACTGAAAGAAATACAATTTTAAAGCATTCATTCCTTGAATCTTATAATATATCCAAATCATATATCTCCAACTTCTAGGGACGTTATGAATCACCCTATCAAAGTTACCGCGAGCACAAAATGAAGTCGAACACACTTCTCAGGAATTTCTATTTTGACTGCGTTTTCAGAAATTGTATGTGTATGTGTATGTGCTTTAAACTGAAGTTCTATTCGGTTGCAGCTATTTAGGAATTAAATTAGATTGGAAACTTGTAGGTTTCCCAATTTACATGGAAAGACCATCATCCTATAAGTGTATTTTAGGCCTCATGAAATATGAGACCACGTTCCTTTAAAATGATATTGATTTTATAAGTGTAATTTTCTACATCCTTCCAATGATATCAATCACTCTTAGACACGTTACTTATTGAAGAAAATATTCTGAATACAATCATGTCAGATAAAAAGGCTGTATTCATGATTATTTTATTCTCATTTCTCAAACAGACAATATCCGTGTTCCTGCATCCTTTAAAACCTATGCATGCATTTCGACTCTACAATAATGTAGTAATAATTTCGTATAATAATATATGTATCGTGGTCAATGTTCAATGGCTATCTGACCATGTCCATGTTATATATTAACATTAACCAAAAACTCTCCATGGAATGGAATCTGAAACGTTCACCGAGAGAAAGAAATATTTTGTATGATCACTTGTGTTGAGACAATATCGTTCTTATAATGCAATATACGTGTAATGGTATTGGGATGCGAATATTTTACGTGATTTTTTGATCAACGTCAAGAACTGGCTTATGGATGTGGTAGATACTATACTTCCTTGAGACCTTGATACTTTACAGTGTTGGTAAAATCTGAGATAAGAAGTTTGTGGGTTTTTTTTTTGGTAAATGGTTATTTTCTGTGAATTGTTTTTGAGTTTTAATCGGATTGTTTGACTATTTTTCAGTAAAAATGTTTTGAGTTGTTTCTCTTTCAACATTTCCTTGCTAACTGAAATAAAGGTTATAGTTGTTATTCATATTGTGAAACTTGGCAATCTTAGGCTTATTGGTTGATTAAAGAGACAGATGTGACATTTTGGGGGGTTGAATATGTAAATAGTCCCTAGAAGTACTAGAAATGTACGAAAATCGCATAATTCCTTTAGAAATATCTCACTTACTTACTATTTCTATATGTCTTTTCCATATATAAGAGAGATCATAAAATGACCAGTCGTCATTTTAACGTTCAAACTAGGATAATTCTGGTAACTCGGATTTGAAGGCTCAAATTTTGATGGTGAGCTGTGAACACTATTACTGATTGAAAAAAAAATCCCGTTTCTGAGACTAAAGTATGATTGGTCAAAAATAATGGCGCATCTGTCCCTTTAAGATAAGCAAAAGTATAGGTCTTCAAAAGCTTTAAGGAAGTATTCTGTTGTGTTGTCAGCTTCTCGTTTTAATTATAGGCTATATATTCTCTCAGCAATATAGATTATGGTAGTTATTTGACGTCAAATTGTATATTATAAGACAGGAACGGGTAAATTTACTTCTGTCACTGCTTATCAATCAAACCTAACAGCAACAGATGTGTTCGTGGTGAGTTTCTAAATACGTAACAGGAATGCTAATAAAGTCATTTAGAGGATATAATTGAGCTATTTTGTTGATAATCGGTCTCGAGTAATGATATTTTAAACCACATTCACTATTGTAATCAATTTCATTTTTCACTAAGAAAAAATCAATTGGAAAAAGCCAAATAAAATGTTCTTAACATGAAGTGTATCAGTGATCGATACAGTACCGATCGTTAACGGCACGTCAATATCACCATGGTAACGTTTCCGGTGGCTTAAATCAACATATTTCAAGAGTATCTTGTTATAGAGTTAGATAGACAAGATTGTGACTCCCTCAACTGTGACATTTCCGATTTGGCCACTTTCAGAAATTAATTTGCATTCCACACAATAGTCACGCCGTTACATCCTCGCCTCATTAGAATTTCCTAGTCTTCAGGGAAATGATTTTTCTTTGCGGTTGTCTTGTAGGCCTAATGATTCTACTACGATATGACTAGATTTAAGATGGAGTGCAATTGTTATTACCAAATATATGAACTCGAGTAGGCTTATGTATGAAAAGCGATTAGTTTATGTAATTGGCTAAATCATTGAATGAATCCTTCAAGGGACTGCACCAGATGTTTTCTGAACTGTTTATGTGTATCGGGGATACTGATAGAATCAATTTAAAACATTCCAATATTCAATCGGACTCTGTGATGCATGCAATTCCACTAAAACTATGACTATCACAAACGTTCTTATAGTATCATTAATAGTTTTCGCGATAGTGACGTCATAAAACTCTAAGATTTGGTGGAATAGTAAGATCCACAGACGTCTGAATGGAAATTGAAATTTCAAATCGCTGCATAGACACTCACATCTTTCACTAAACCATTCCAATTCTACAGACAGCGTTTGAAATTCCAAAAATACATTCGACCTCATGGGATTTTTGATTAGACTTAAGCTATTTTCAGAAAGGAAAGTCTAAATCATTACTTTGATTAAATTCATTTGAATGCCTTTTATCTTTTTTACAGTTAATAAGTCACAATATAACTATTAGCCATACCTATCAAGTTTTAAAAAATAAATTCTACGATCGAATGAAAGCGCTGCATAATATTTTTAGATTAGATATCATGATATAATCAGCTGTGAGTGTGATCTGCATGAGGGAATATTTATGACGTCATATTATGTCGGTGCATTTGAATGTCTTGTAGACACAGACATACCCGACAGCGTTTTGATTTTGAAAGTGATTTTTCGCCTGTTGATGACAACTCAGGAGTAGTAATGTGTGCCATGAATTGTATTTCCATAGACATAGTCAGATTTGATGTTAGATCAATCTCATGTGGATCAATTGCAGTGGATTACAATCAAGAGTAGTCTCTCTAGCCTTTTCTTTATATTCTCCATATAAATCCTACTATTTCTATCGTAATTCTTTGAACGCCGGAGAATATAGCCTGACTGAATAAAGCAACCTAAGTGATAAATGTAGAGATGCCTATTGTTTATGCCTAGATTAAAAAGTTCCCCCTTCCCCCCAAAAAAGAAAAATCAAAATTAGCCCCATGGGGTTGAAACCCCTTACCAGATTTCAAAATTCTCTATAATCTAATTAGTCAGAATGATATAAGTATTCCAATTGTACTTTCTAATTAAAAATCATTAAAGATTTATACAGTTGTTTAGATAAATAAATAAAAGATGAAATGTTGAGAATATTCAAATAGAGAGACATTCAAGTTGAATTGAATCAATAAGCACTGCAATATAAAATCTATCTTGTGGAAGAGCGAGTTTTTTGCCTTAGTGTAAATAGTAAAGTGCTAATTATAAAGGATCGATATCATGGTATTTTCTATATAAAAAAAATCATTACAATCTGGTTAAAATTAACTTTCTGTTGAGTGCCAAGCCAATTTGTCTGCCAGATTTAGGGTTCATAAAAAGCGCCAGATATAATTAGACAGTAAAGATTTCAGGCATGCTTGGGATTGCTGTTGGTGCCAGTATATGACCAGTGGCGTTTCTACGTCCATATAAGAGGCTGGCCCGGCTTTGCCCCAAACTTTCAAAATTTCTATCAATTTAAAGCATATCCTTGTGGACCCCCCCCTAGAAATTTCTCAATTTCCCATCCGACATTCTGTAATCTATACAAATAGGTCAGTTGTCTGAAACAACACAAATTATGTATTTCTACATCTATTTAAATAAACAATTGATATAACTTGTTTTTATTTTCTATTTTAGGTCATATAAGAGTATTATATGCTGGTTTATTAGGAAATGTTTGTAGGTTTTTATATATTTCATGGTTACACAATCCATGGTGGGTGTTACCATTTGAATTTGTGCAAGGTAGGTCAAGGCAAAAGAAAATAGCTTTTAGAGTCGAATGTATCTTTGTATGTGAAGTCTGAATTGCTGGTGGTGACCTTTTAGTCTTCGACATTCAGGTGGAAAGAGAATTTGGAATTGCTATGGACAAGCGCTTTCAAGACAATGTCAGTCATTGCTAATGTTCCAGTTAATCAAGTCTATTATTTACATCCGGGTTAGTTTATACAGACCGTATTTAAACTAAGTTGCACGTGCATTGCTGACTATAACATTGAGGTATACACTTCTTCCTCCAAACGAATGTATTTCTTCTAGCCTTTCCATTAAAGGTAAAAACTGCCCCTCAAAATTCAGATCTCTACCCCGGAGTTGAGAAGGAATTTCAGAATTTTAATCCATGTGCAGGGCATGATCCTGTCTAACACTCAGCCCATAGGACATTCAGCCCATGTTATCGGCCTCTACAGATGTATATCGTTTGATAATATATTACAGGTTTAACACATGCTGCAGTATGGGCATCATGTTGTTCATATATTACCCAAGCAATACCCAAAGAATTGAGATCTTCAGCTCAAGGTATATTACAAGGTTTACATCATGGTCTTGGTAGAGGTTGTGGCGCTGTATTTGGTGGTGTTTTAGTTTATAGCTACGGTAAGTGCAAACTTCAACTTTTCCATTCAGACAACCAAATGTTTCGGTCTTTTTGTAACTTTTGACAACAAAAGTCTGTATTTCAGAGGCTAACCTACTATGGAAGGGGCAAGGAATCTTGGCTTATTTTTTAGCAGCACACTTGGTGTGTTAGGTGTGTGTGTGGAAGTGGGGGTGGCAATTGTTTACGTCTGGAAAAATGATAGGAGATTTGGGATTTAGGAAGGAGTGGATGTGGTAAAACCAAGTTAGTATCTTTCCAGAGATGAGGCCACGCTCTCTACTTCACTCCTCTATTGTTTTTTCTATCAAATCACACAATGATGATTTATTGAAATTATCGACTGAGATCAGATTAATATATCACGAGAATATTTCAATGGCGACACAACACTTCATTCTTATGACACAAACTTCATTTCCATTTCTGATATTGAGAATTGAATGCCATTTGGGAATTTCAACTAATGGCATCGTGTGATTTACTCAGCACAAATCGGAAGTGACTTATTCTTGCCATCAGACTAAACCGGAAGTAGTTAATTAATATCATCACATCACACCGGAAGTAGTTCTTGTACTAATCACAACAGATAATTTGAATTGTGTTATTGTCCATGAAAACGGGTCGTTCAGTTCCAATTAAAGAACAAAAAGCATTCAGATGAGAAACCATTCACAGACGATTTCGTGAGACCTGCTTCAGTTGTCTCCAACTTTTCTGAAATGGTCTTTCAGCATAGAGAATATGTGAATATTAGGCATATGTGGAAAAAATCACAGTTTTAAGCAAAAGTCTATCTTCTGATTATTATACAATATAATAAAATCTTACTCACGATAAGAATAATATGTAACTTGTCCTAATATTGGAAGCAGTTTTTGTACACACCTGTATGTAATATGATATACTTTTCTTTCAAATATGCCATTAAAAGAATCATTCTTTTCTGTTTTTTTACAGGTAGTGTAATAACCTTTAGAGCGTATGGTATCACCTGTATCTTTATATTAGTTATCTATATGGGTGCTAACTACTACTTGGAAAGGAAGGGATTATTTTCACACAACACTGCTAAATCTCACCATGAAATCTTGGAAGATGCTGGAATCCTGGCACCTCATGGTGTACCGTCTGGAGCATCTTCTCTAGCTAGAGACATCTCCAGTAGTCGTTTAGCTGATAAAGATCCCTACAGCCAACAAAGTGAGTGTCTTTACTTTCTTAAAATTGTCATTTAGTAGATTAAAAGTAAGTCATATTGCATTATGAAGGTTTAATGGTATTATCAGAAACATCCCTCAGTAAATGGCGTCCGTCTTCATTAGCGCGATCATGTGCAAAAAAAGAAGGACGTTTCAGTATTAAACGTGCTCGCTAGCTATCTTTCATTATTATCAATGTCATCATTATTTTATTACAGGTTATGGAGCTACAACTTATGAAGGACAAAATACATTAACCACTAACAACATGACTAATCGAGGTACTATTATTTTGTTATAGTGTTTGTGCCATAATGCACCACATTTCTCATTATAGTGTTTGTTTACAGCCATTTTTGATGTGCAGTAACATAATCAGTGAATTCATAATTGTTGTGATAGCTTTTAGTTTTATTGAATGATCTTTCAAATTGCCTTTTCAGCAAAATACAATATAATTGACATTGAAATTTGCCTGTTGTCTCTTTCAGTAAGGATATTCAGTGCCATTGTAATACAGATTTTATCATAATCCATTAATATTTTTAAACCCTGTAATTTCAGGATTTAACGACTCTTATAATGATCAAAAGTCTACTGGCTGGCCCTCTTCTAATGATGTAAGTATACAACCCCAGTATAGTCAAAATAAAGATAGGAATCTTTTCAAGCAGGGTGGACCCATGTTGCATTCCAATCTCTTGGATGTGTGCTTGTCTGCCTTTATATTATAATCCTCGGCAATTTCGCTAGCGAAACTTCCACGATGATATCTGCCTTTTGGCTCTAGTTTAAAATACATGTAGTTACCAACGATTTATGTCCCCTTAATTTATAGTGGATCTACGCATTTAAACTTGTCTGTTTTCAACGCCTTTTTGAAAAAACGCAAATCTAACTAACATGTTCCATAACCTCCAAGAAAGAATTATTTGTCATTACCATGGACATCGTTAAAGTATAACCATAAAATATTTGTGCTCAAATTTTGCACCATTTGCTAATGATTTGATCTCTTAAAGCACCCATCGTATGCATACTTTTCTTATCCTTTGCAGGATCACACTTACAGAGAAGGTGACCGAGTATTCATGGAAACACCACCTAGGATGCCAACACAGATGTACCAACAACAACCTCATAATACCATGGATCAAATGTATGGTCCTTAAACTTCGGAACAATTAGTTTAGACAACTTGAAATCTTTAGAAGTAAGGCAAGAGGCTATGGATTGTTTTGGTGTTGGTTACTAATTAATCTTGGAACGAGTTGAACCTTTGGTTACTAATTGTAATTATGTTACTAATTGTTCTTGGAACGAGTTGAACCTTTGGTTACTAATTGTAGTTATGTTACTAATTGTTCTTGAAACGAGTTCAACCTTTGGTTACTAATTGTAGTTATGTTACTAATTGTTCTTGGAACGAGTTGAACCCTTGGTTACTAATTGTAATTATGTTACTAATTAATCTTGGAACGAGTTTAACCTTTGGTTACTAATTGTAATTATGCTACTAATTGTTCTTGGAACGAGTTGAACCTTTGGTTACTAATTCTAATTATGTTACTAATTGTTCTTGGAACGAGTTGAACCTCTGCTCTAATTTTGCATGGACTTCATAATATGAACTTTTTTACTCTAATCTATATACAAATTATCTGTTACTTAGTATCTGATTATGTTTTTGCACATACCGGTTCCAGTGGGTACCATTAAAAACCACAGCCTCGTCTAGTTAATGATTTAATAGATAATAGTGAATATGGTTACGAGTATCTTAAATGGCCGTTATGATTTTAGAAGACGCAAACGATCGGGAATGTCAGAATATATAAATGACTCGTTAATATCTTTACATTCCAATGACTCTATATTCTAGTAATAATCATTGTTAGTCACAATACAAAGTGAACATAGGGTTGCTTTGGGAAGGCAATCGTATGTCTTTAAAGGGATTATAAAGAGGTTTTCAAGACTTTTAACTTGTATTGGGAACACTGATAGCATCATTTTGCACCATTCCAATTTTCAATCAAACGTCTGTGGTTCCTGTAATTTCACTAAAACTAAATGGTTGATGGCGTAACTTATCGCGAAGGTCCGTATGTGATAAAGCATAATTAGTGACGTCATCAAATATAGAAAACCTCTTTACAATCCCTATAACTAGTTCTCATTCGTGTCACGTACAATCTGTTTTGTTGTGAAAAGACGTTTCGACATCAAAAACTTGATCTAGCAAATGGATATTCTCGACTTTCAATAATCATTAGTCGAGGATTAAGTTCTCAGCCAATTAAATTAATTTAAACCACATATTCCTCCAAGGTAATTCTGTAGATCATCGCAAATTAGTCATATGACGTACATAGCATATTTACAGAGCTTTTTTATATATGGATCGAAGTTACTAAGTGACTCTGTTTTTGACAGACAAGTTTATTAGTGTGGTTTTTTTTCACTCTAAATCAATCAAAAAATGAGCGAATGCATTGATGTAAAACATGGTTATTTTTGCTCTTTTCTTATGGCTATACACATATATAAAAATTGTTAATTAAACGCACTTGATAACCACTGGCAAGATATTGTCATGACGCTGTGTGAAATTAATAATAATTGTAAAAAAAAAACATGTTGTTTTTTAAGATGTAGACCCCATTAACAAAATGACTGTTACACTGTAGACTAAATAATGTAGAGAGTACAATGTCGTTAGTTACCATAATCCCGGATTAGTTAAAATAAAGTTACAAAAATATGTTTTTTATGTTATATTGTCATTAGTCCATACCGAAAATGTTATTTCTGCAATTTCATAAAACTAAAGATTGTACAGTTTTAGCCATTGGGGCCTTTATTTAAAACCACAACGGTCCGGCGTGGATAATGCAAAAAGAAGCCATAAGAATCTGCAAATATTTACCGGTTCCAAAATATCTTACACATGAAAGGTGGATTTAGTGGTCTGAAACGTCTTGAAAGGTCGAAACCCTAGGTTACCAACCATGCTTCGACATCAGGCTTAATTGATCATTCCCTATTTCATTTACTTTGCAACATTTCAATAATTTTATCGCGGTAATATGTAACAAAATGAAAAATATAAGACTTTAAACTCATTTTTATTTCATTTTATATCTTGAATGACCGAGAAAAAGGGGAATGAAGCTTTAAAGCATTGGAATTTCTAGAAAAAATCATTTTGACAGTATTGGCCCGAAGATCATTACATTCGTCATAACCCAATCTTGAAGTTGATCTTGCCGATAGCACAGATACGATCAAAAGTGAATAATATTTTTAAACCTATATATTATGTTGGTTAAATTAAGACGCCTTCAGTCTGAGAAAAACCTTTCGATCAAGATGACGCTTTTCAAGTATCTATGTGTACTTATATTTTCGATAATTGCAACTGAAATTGTAGCTGAGACAGTCGTACTGGAAGCAGAGACGCATGATACAGTTCAAGTCAATTCTAGGACCAAGGCCTCTGGTAATCAAACAGTTTGGCTTCACCAAGGGGATTTAGTAAGCTATACATTTTGTCTGTTGAGATCTACGATTGTTACCGTTCAGAATGTCCGCACTTCTAACGACGGTCAGTCAGATACTTTGAAGGTATCTGTCGACGGCGGCATTATGCCTAATAATGTTGTGTCATTCGGAAAATCTGATTTCGGTCGTATGTGGAACGAATTTAGTTCATCTGGGGAAATTGGTGCTGTTACACTGGAAGCAGGACAACACAGTATAACATTAGAAGTGATATCGGCAGATTCCTTTGGTGTGGAATTGGATGTTATCGAATTCAACGTTGATGATGATGAGCTTACAAACAATACCTTTACATGTAATTTACAATGTTCCTTCACTCCACCTACAGTCACAGCCACACCAAACCTATTGAATGGCAAAGCTATACAGAAGAGTACTGAAACACTCTGCTCGGCTGAAACAAATGTCAAGATACCTGTCTATAATGCAGAGGTCCAAACTTACGAAATTTCTACAAACGTGCCACAGTTCACCAACCCACAAAACTTGGTAGTAGATGAACCAGACGTATGCCCGGACTCTCCTTCAGTTTATATGAATATTGAGAATGTATCAACAGGATCAAATGTGGATGTGGTTACTTTGTCCGAAACTGCACAGTATTTCATCAACAATATGGAACGAGGTGGGTTGTATATTGTAGTTGCAACATTTTTCTTGAATGGCCGCAAAAGTGGTTCCATTGATGCCGATATTGGAGCCGAGGTTACCTACGAACTCGAATCACTACAAGCTCCTGCATCAGTAAGAATGATCTATTCTCATAAAGACGGAAACAGTGTAACCTCCGCGCCAGTTGAGTTTAATGGAAGTAAAACCAAACATTCCTGGACTATTCCAGACTTTACTTGGAATGAAGAGGGGGCTAATGCGCTTATAATGCATGTAACATCGGCAAATAGAAACCATGTCATTAAGTCTCTTAAAATTGAAAGAAGAAACACAGTTCCTGACCAAGTGGTAGAAGTCCACTCTTCAGATGTAGCGAAAATCGAGGTGATTAAAAAAGATTTCTGGTGGTTGTCAGGAGACAGAATGGAAGTTGTATATCCAGGTCAAGACCCAATCACCGACGCTGCCAGTATCCGAATTCAGTTTCAAATTTCTCCAACTTCCGCTATTTCAGAAGTTTTCTCTTTGTCGCAAGATGGTCTTGCAAAACTCTTCAATCCATCTAGTGACAGTATTGGTAACGACTTCAAGACATCGGTCATCATTGGACAAAACAATCCAGATGACTATCGACCATCAGCGCCAATTCAGCGAGTAGAGATGGTACCAGGACAACTCAAGATGATTATCACCTACCAAGACTCTGGCAAAGCTACTATATCTCTGTCTCCAACCGTTCAGGAAACTAAAGCAACCATTTCAGAATTAGATTTGAAGCAAAATCAAGGAACCACACCTTTTGCTACTCTTCGATCTATGTACATTGAAACAGGTTACAGTGATTCGGACAGCATCACCAGCGACCTGTCGGCAACTGAGCGAGTACTTGGAGGATCCTGGACAGAAGTTGCTGGTACAACCTTTCTACTTCATAGAAGATGTGATTCTAAAACTAGCACCAAAAGTCCTGACTTGAAACTTACTGTTACAAGCACATTGCCTCGAGCTTTATAGAGCTGTTTCCACAAACTTTAAGAACACATTTAATGATTTCGACCTTAACTGCAAGTTTCAACCAGAGATGTTCTTGAATATTATGAACACAATTATGACAATTCTAATATTTGTTTCTTCCATTGCATTTTAATCTTCGGTTAAGTTGCATATTTATACCTTAAACACAAGCTTCTCGTTCTGAACGACCAGATTATTTTGTTATTCAATGGTATTTTATTTAAATCAGAAATAGTTAAGCCATGTATGTATTCATGCATTATTTAATAATAGTAATTTAGCAATTTCGTTGTCTGTACAATTTGAGGACAAGTTGTAGAGTATTTGGCTCGACCTCATTTAATCCAAACCCCTTACCATGTGCTGAAGAACTTTCAGGTGCAATTGCTTTATGTTTGGAATTGTTGAACTCTGCCACTGTCACGCATTTGATCTATCTTCGTAGGCTACATATTGTCCAGTTGAAAACGCAAACCGTTTCTATTTTGGCATTGTAATATGTCTATTTTTGGCTCTGGGGAACTGAATGTGCTTTGTTCGAATTGTGTTCCCAATGTCTAGAAAATTGAGCATACGAAAAATTCATCTTATGAAAATATGACATCTGCATGTGCACTTGTCTTTTCGTCTAACCGTTCACAATGAGCATGTGTACGCAGAGTTTGGGAAGGGAGTTCATAGGTTAATTTGTCAAGGGTTAAATGTCTGGAGAGGAGGTTCCATGGGCGTAAGCCTGTTCTCCAATCCTTTTCTTAGGAATAAAATATTGTTTACAAAAAAGGGTTAAATGTCAAAGTTTCTTAATACGCTTTTTGTGTGCCTCAACTAGACTGTCCGTCGCAACAATCTACAATCATTCCTTTTTTGATGCTACCGCCTTGTAATGGAAGAATAGGAGTTTCTGTCATAATTTCTACACTTCTATAGAGCAATATGGATTTCCAAGATGAGGGGTACAATTCAATTATATGTTTTATCCCTCAAGTTTAAGATAATGAAGAACTAGAAATACCATATTACCTTGAAGTTTTGCTTAAGAATTTCAATGGGTTCCTGAGAGTATTGCAGGGTGATTTTTTTATGGGCACTTTTGATTAACCAAGATCATTCATTCTTTTATTCATCTAGATAATAAAGATTAACAATTTCACATTTGTTCATTCACAACAATATTCTAAAAGAATGATGAAAATTAACTTAGCCTCAAATTGCTTAAATTATTTTGGCTAACCCAACCAAATACAGAAAAATAACCAGATATAGAGCCTTTTGAAATTCATTGTGTTTTTAGACTTTGATCTAAAATTATGTATTTCAAGTGAATAGAGTTGACTTTGGTAGATTTTACCTTCAAACCATTTTTTATATTGAATATTTATAAATTACCATAGTAATTAGATAGTAAAACAGTACAATATAATACCCCAAATATTTGTTGGTGGGAAAGAGGGCTTTAATATGATATAATTATAAGGAACTATATAGCTTTATATTGAAAACTAATACACCAGTATATTATAGACCCAAGTGTTGTTTATTTGACTGAAAAGTATTCAATCAAGTGATAGATCTAAATTTTTATATAGATTTTCAGAATAACACTAAACAAAAACATTTATATTTTTCTTTGATTGTAAACTAACTAAGAGTTAGGATAATCACACAAAAACGAGATGAGGTTGATTTTAGTATTGTAAATAATCTTCAGAAGTGCCAGAAATGTTAAAGAATCTCATAATTCCTTCAAAAATACTACAAACTAGGAATTTTACTCATTATTTCCATATATGTCTTTTCTATATATGACAGAGTATCTTAAATTGAGTCGTCATTTTAACATTCAAACATGGATAATTCTGGACACAAATGGATTTGAAGACTCAAATTTCAACAGTGAGCTGTGAACACTGTTATTGATTGACTAAGCTAAAAAAAAAATCCTGTTTTTGAGACTAATGTATGATTGGCTAAAAAAAATGGTTCACCTGCCCTTTAAGTTGAAATGGAATGATTCATTTGAAAATTTTAAATCCCATTTATTAGCTTTTCATTTCATTAAGTTTCTCCCAAATATCTATTAAGAGAGATCACTACTGACAATAGACATCAGGAAATAGAAACTTGGTAAAAAGTTCGACCAACTAAAAATCTTGTGATACCTATAAAAATAAACCGTAACTAACATAAAATAAAAGATTTATCTAGATTGCCTAATCGACTGTATAATATAACCTCAAGGTAAGGTGTAAACTTGACTAAGTTTATATTGCTCATAATAATAGTATAATATTCTAATTAGGTTTTTAAAGTCATGGTTCCCCAGGTGTTGTTCACTTTAGTTTGACTACACTTGACTTGTGCTATAAATGCAGAGCTCTACAACATGATAGCAAATAATGAGATGGATAATGCATAAAATAATTTGTTTGACACAGTCAATAATGTCAAAGATAACTCAATGCAATTCATTTGACAATTATAATATAATTTGACAAGTTTGACAATTCCATGGTGTCTCATTATGTTGTTCTGAAGGGTCAATCCAGTCTTAATGTATAATTTTGATTCATCATGTTAAGGACAAAAAAAAAAAAATAAAACTGTAATTTGGGGAAACATATCTTTAAGAATATAAATAATAAATATGTTAATATATGTTAATATATGTATCTGTTCATCAGATCAGGGAGGAATTATTGACTAGTGACTTCAATCCTTTTATCTAAAATCTTCAGCTGAGAACATTCCCTGAAAATATACAAAATATCCTGTTAAGGTGTGGTGAAATTAGAGGTCACATGGATACAAGTCATAACTGTAACTCTTGGTAGGTGAACCACACCCTCAAATATAATTAGGTCTTGTTACAAGTTCTGAAATGTGGGATCACTTACTGCCTCTAGAGTGCACCAATAATTTTTGCAATACTATTTTGTTTCGTTATTGTTCTGATATTTATCATTTCCATTGTAATCTAACAAGATTGTTATCTTAGTATGGTTCTAATAATGTTATCTTTAATCAATCAAAACATGACATGTAGAAACTGTTTCTTGATAGCAATAAAGAATTGCAGAAATTGCTGTACTTTGGGAATCGCTATCCAAAAATTGTTTTTATGTTTTAAGAAGCAGATCCTAAATGACTGGTTAAAATAACTTTATTTGAACAGTACTGCAGTAGAAAACTAGTAGGATTACAAAGGATACGAAAAATATCAGAAAAATAAAGAAACCAGTTAGATTGATTTGAACATATCCATGCTTCATAGTTCGCATTGTCTGGATATTTTAAAGACTAGGTTATTTATTGTGAAAAATAGTATGAGAACTCAGAAATCTTAAAAGACACATTAATAACATAATACCTTAGCTCTTCGTAATATGGAATCTTTAGAAGCATCATAAGGTGCCTCTTTACTAGGGATTTCTAATACAGCTGGAATAGGTTCTGTATGTTTATCTATAGCATGGCGTATCATCTCAGCAAACTAATAATAAAAATAACACTGAGGTCATTTTAAGAGATATGGCATCATATATCATATGAGATTCATTTCTTCCTATGATTAGCTAAACATTAAATATTTTCCAGGAGAATAAAAAAAAAAAAAAAATTTGATTCACAGATCATAGTGAAAAATGTTAACAATTGGTAACAGTAATAATTAACTGTGGAAACCAGTTTGATTTAATTAATTGTTGACAAAACATCAAATTTCATTTTGAAAAGTGGTAAAGAGCGTTTATATATATATATGATGGTATAGCAAATATTTCGAAAAAATTTCATTACTGATTGATATCTGTGAAGCTATTACTAGCTATCAGTGAAATAGGCTTGTGCACTCAAATCAGTTAATTCATTAAAAATTTCAAAAAAGTAATTCACTTTTCAGTTCATATTTTGCACTGAACTACGAATAAATCCTTGAGGCAGGTATGACAAAATTACCGTCGAATAATAAGTGTCTCTTTGACAGAATATTTTATTTGGCCCATAGCTACATACTAAACAAATTTAGTTTTATTAAAGGGGAACAGGCGGCATTTTCAGGGATTGATTTGTGTCTTTATTGAGCTTTAATAGTCTTAAGAAGTACTAAAACGCACGAAAATCGCATAATCCCTTCAAATATACCTCAAACTAGAAATTTCACTGTCTATTCCTATATATGTGTTTTCTTTAATATGGCATAGTCTCACTGGAATTCAAGTCAAATTTTTAACTTTCAAACGTGAATAATTATGGATACACATGGATTTGAAGGCTCAAATTTCGACAATGAGCTGTGAACACTATTACTGACTAGCTTAGCTAAAATATTCCTGTTTCTGAAACTAAGGTATGATTGGTCGAACGGATAGTGAAGGTGCTCCTTTAACCAATTGCAATACATTACTTTTTTAAAACCTGATTTTATCTAAGTTAAGATTTTGCAATTAAGATCACCAGTCTACACCTTGTTGTTTTTTTTTGTGAACAAGATGCAAATCCAGTGGTTTTACCACAATTAAATCTATTATCCACATCATAAATCAAAACAAATTTTAAAAAATTCCAATATATGACATAATTGTTTTGTGAACCAAAGATGGTACAATTTAACCATTTTCGATAAGTTTCACTTCTGAAATGGGTCTAAAAAACAAAAAAACTTCAGGACACTATAGTAGGGGTAGGGGTAATTTAAGATTTGAGAGGTATGGAGGCGCTTTGAAGTCTAGCACAGTGGTGTCAAAAGGATTTTATTAATGGGGTGGGGGGGGATGAATTATCCTAGTTTGAATGTTAACATGAAAACTCAACATTTTAAGATACTCTGTGATATATAGAAATAGTGAGTAAAATTGAGTATTTTTGAAAGAATTATGCGATTTTCGGACAATAATAGTACTTTTGAAGACTATTTTCATATTCAACCCCCCAAAATGACTAATATATATACGATATTCTGTTTAGTCACTATTATGTTCTACTACATGATAAATATTGGAGAAAAAAAACCTAAGAGAGAAATACGAAATAGGAAGGATTTATGAGGGTAAAAGGGGATAATTCAATCAATCACCTGCTCTATAGTATCAAGAAGTCATATTACTATTTACCTGGTGTTATTTGATTGAAATGAATAAACACTTACAGACTGATTAATTAGTATAATAGCTATATCATCTCTGCTTACAAATGATTTAAATACATCTTCAATTTCTGGTACACTGGTATCTACAATACATATATTAAATAGGATAATATCATATATATACTTGAACACTTCTACTGGCTATATCTTAACAGCAATCTTCTGAAGCTGTATATAATTTTCAATCACCACCAAGCCTAAGTAAATTGTCTTTGGGTTAGTTCGTTGTCATAGTGAGCAGTTGATGATAGTTCTATGCTGCAGATAATTTTCAAAATTATGAAAAATATGTTAATAAGCTTAGAAGCTCTGAATATTTTCAATTTATACAAAGTGTCAAAATAAGGCATCTGTTGCAAGTTCAAATGCTTCCTAAGCAATGTATATACATTTCACTCCAGCAGCTTTTTTTTTTTTAACATAGGCTCACTTTAAAGTCATTCAAACAGGTTATAGTCAACTTGGCACCTAACTGATATATGGCCCTTGGATCAAAATGGACCCAAATAAAAAAGTCAAAATGGCCCCTAAAATTACTCTCTGATTTCAACCAAAAGCATTGGTCAAAATGGCCCCAGTTTAATTCTTGTTTAAACTTTATTAATTATAATAAGTTAATTTGTAGCTTATATCATGTAGAACTTACTTTTATCCACAACTAAAAAATTTGGTCTTCTGTTTTTGTCAATTTCACCAATACCACCTAATACAAAACCTGTACATGTATCCTGAATTGAACGAAAAAATATAAAGATTAGGATTTGGGTAATTTAAGTGTCTATTAGGTAAGCTTATATTATATACATATTATTTTTATTCACATGGAAGATGTGACAATGAGATTTTCGACATGCAATTCTATCGGATAGATTATTAGTTCAATTCTAAGTGATAAAGGTATGTTAACATTCATCAACAATACAGTATTTCTGTACATGACAACACAAATATTTAGTTTACTCTACGTCTTCAAGGACATCATTGATTTTCGTTTTGTGGTACAAAGTCTTAGACTATACATTATTCGGCCCAGTGCTTTACTACACTGTTTTGCAACCACATTAAAGGTTGGGGTCACTTGGCCGAATCCAGTAAATATTAACATAATTATGTTATAAACGATAGAGTCAAAATCATCCCAGTGAGCGAGTGATCAACTGTTGAGTGTTGTAGGGTAGGCCTTATGATGACCAATCAAGTACATCTATAGGTCTATCTGAGAGAATAATTCCCGTATCACATGCATTATCATGGCATTTGATGATCTATATATCTTTACATGTATATAGATTATGAGATGTGTCTAGCGATTTTACCTCATCTCCAATGACAGCAATCAGTCGTCCTTTTTGAGCTGAGTGAAGCGCCATTTTGAATAATCATGTGACTTTGACATAGGCATAGTTCGACTACTTTAGTATAGTGCTTTAAAGTAATCTTGGTCTATATATCCATACTTTATATATATTTCAATCTGTTGATACTTTCTATTGAGCCTGCCTTCTTTATACAGAAACTGCTTCATTGAGTTAAGAATTGTGTCGGGGTATCTGAAGTCAAAGGGAAATTAAACGCAAAATTGAATAATATAAATTAACCTAAACGAACTCGTCCGTGGGCAGGTGCTTCATAACTTCCGGCTCTTGTCAAAATGGCGTCTGGAATTGCTGGTGAATTAATACAGCTGATAGAAAATGAATTACCAGACGGTCGACACAGCTTACAAGAAAGTTACACTAATCTAGAAAGGGTCGCTGTATATTGTGAAAGCAATTATGTGCAGGTTTGATATGCTTTGGGTATTTTACAATGATAAATGATGCTGCAAAAGTATCCCCACCCTAATTTAGATTTATAAAAATCATAACTCATCATCTTATGTCAGTTACGTTTTTACTGTCATATTTGTCTAGTATTGAAAATAAACATTACCTCTCTATGCAAACTATCAAATGCGAGTTGCGTGTGTTGTGATATTCTTTAAAAGAATAAAGAATAATAAGATAACTTAGATCAAAGACTAAACAGACAAATAATGAATTTTGTAAACGTAGGTTTGGGTCTTAAATGAGTGTTGGGTTGTTTTTGAAAGTTGTTCCGAGTTGTCTTTTGTTCTAATTATCCTGATTCCATTTAAAACGATGGAGTTGTATTGCTATGAATGTTGAAGTGGTTTTCCGTCTCTGTGAGAAAGTTTTCCAAAGCTTCCTCCTAGTCCTCATCATATATAAACTGACACTATATATAGGGTACAAATGTTATTAATGATAAAAAAAAAAATTATGAAAGACAGTTGCTGTTTTATTTATGAGGAATGTGTTTTGTTTGATATAAAGTCTATATACAAACTTAAGCATATTTAAATTTTGCTTTATGTTTTGCAGGCTGCAGACAAAAAGAAAGCTTTGGAAGAGACCAAGAATTATACAACACATTCTTTGGCCAGTGTTGCTTATCAGATCAATAATTTAGCTACAAACTTTCTCAAATTATTGGATCTGCAGAATAGTCAGCTGGCAGAGATGGAGTCTAGTGTAAACCATTTATCACAGGTATGTATTTCAATGAAGTGATGGGTATAATAGCTATAAAAGATCTAAAGAAAAAAATAGTTGAATAGAAATTATTAACATAACTGAAATTATTTGATACAAATTTTTGCAAATTAGTCTAGATATGATACCAAACCGTGGCATAATTAAATAAATTGTGTAAGAAAATTCTTAATCTTGAGATTCAGAAATAAATTTTTTCAAATCTATTAGTCTTCACATTTCAAGTGCTTGAGCCCTTGGATCTTCAGTCTCGTTCTATAATGACACAAATTTCTTATTCATACCTAGATTGTTATGATACATAAAGAAAAAGTAGCAAGAAGAGAAATTGGTGTATTGACTACTAATAAAAGTGCATCAAGACCGTTGGGAGTGAAAGGAGGAATAATATTCCCTGAACAAACAGAGCGACCAATCAAATATACTAGGAAAGCTGTTGATTATACTACACTAGATGAAATTGGACATGGTGTTCGGGTGAGTTAAGTTATGCTCAATAGATGTATTGAGACTGTGGCTATTTAAAGTATCTTTGAGTAACTATTTCCATGTTTTGATTCATGTTATTATGAGGAAGCTTTTCTGTCTAGTTTTCTTGTGGTCATTTTCACATTGCCAAAAGGGCTGAACAGTTTCAGTAGCCGAAGGTTAATTTATGCATTATTTTAAATTTTTCAGCTGCATAGTGGTAATCCAAGAGCAGTTCGAAGTCCTTCAGTGACCAGTACCAGCTCAAGTAATGCTCCAACAACTAAACCCCCGACTCCTCCAGTCAATAGAAATGATACACTTGGTAGAGCAAGGGGTAATCATTACAGATCAGTAGCACCTCCAGTTGCTCCTCCTTCAGTACCAGGACATTATGGTAGTCAGTATGGATCTGCAGGAATGCCTCCTGCCGGTCGTTATGAAGCTGGTTATGCACCATCACCGGTTATGGGAACAATTCATTCCCCTCCACCAGTTGGTATGGCTATGCCAATGGCTCACGGAGTACCTTCTCCAGGTATGATACAATCTGCACCAAACTTTCCATATGGTGGAAGACATGACTCTGTTGGTAAGTCCAGGATTTCATTCAAAGTTGATTTGTGAACTTAAATTTGATTTTGAATTAGGAAAAAGGAACTGAGATAAGTTTGACATCTGAAACTTGAACATATAGATTTATATTCCTGTGACTGAAGAATAACAAGCCACATTGTGCTACTCTTTCAATTATTTTGTTGGGCGAATTAATAACAATACACACCTCACATGAAGTATTGGGGCATAACTACCACAATGGAATGCTCAATGCTTGGTGTCTTAAGATATTCATTGGCTTTTACAAAATATCAAAACAAATTCTGCTGTGTAATTATTTCGTTTTAACGATAATACTCTATGTTTATTTCGTTTAAACGAAATAAAAAAGATGGGTTAATTATTTCGTTTAAACGAAATAGACGAAAAAATTAATTCGTTTAAACGAAATAAACAAAAAAATTAATTTGTTTCAACGAAATAATAAATAAAAATGTTTACAATTGCGCCTTAGGGGCTCCATAGTTAACATATATTTATTTTTCCCCATATATTGTGTTATATATTAGATGTTAGATTGCATGCTGTCATAGTCAATATTGCATGTTAGTGTGTAATTATATAATATTCCTTGTCTTACAATAACAAAATATTCACACTGTTTCAGTGTAAATAGAGTGGAACGACATAGAACCTGAAACATGTTATTTCTCAAGCTGTGCGATCTTTAGACAACTAACTTATTTCAGTCTGTGCTCCTTCTGAAGTTTGTCAAGTAGTTCACAGGGGTGCAGGCTGAATTGTCTGAATATCGCATAGTGTGAAACTCTTGAGTAATACATGTTTCAGGTTCTGTTTTAATATTTCTATTCCTAGAATTCTAGTTATTCGAAATTGAAATAACATATTGGATGTGAAATGATCTGAATGTATTATTGAACTAAGCTAATCCTATGTTGTTCACACATGTTTTGGATATATAAACTGTCATCAGGACAGCTGATTTTGAGATATGTTGGATTAAATTTGTCAGACATTATAATGCCTTCTGTGTTGCATGTTTGTTGTTGTGATATTAGATGTTATTTATTATTTGCAGACATGTCATTACCACCCCCACCTCCTGATCTGGATTCAGAACGTAGATTATCTGAAGGTTTGCATGTTCTATATATATATAAACTACGCTTACAATATCAATGTTGCATGATTCCTTCCTTTATAGAAAATACCACAGATCTATTTTTATGATCATATTATTATATGCCCACTTTCAGTCTGTCAATTTACATGAATTTTTATGAAAAATTTAGGTGTATTGATGATATAAGTTATCATGAATTTTTAGTATAGTGTCTTTTTCTCAAGAGAGTACGTTTTTTGTTATATATTGACAGAATTCGACAATAAATGCACATTAATGAGATCTCATAGTAATTGAGCAATTTTTAAAACTAACTTTTATTGGTAAGTTTAGATAGTTAAAGAGATGCCTTTATATGCCCTTACTTTATCTAAAGATATATTATTGTTACCAAGTCTGTCACAATTGCTTGTAAACACTCAGGTCAGCACAATTTTAGTCAGATTTTAAGGAAACTTAGTCAAATCGTTAATTAATGAACCATGACAAAAATTAAAAAAAGAAAATGATAATGATACTTATATAATTATTAAAAACCAATTATCACATACAGTTTTAGGTATTTTAAATTATGAATATTTGAGCAAATTTGGTGATACCATGTTTAAAACTGCCATAGAATTTACTGTTCTATTGGTCACAGAACGAAATAATGCTTTGTAATTTCTGGTATAAGATATGTGAAACTTGATAATTATCTCTGATAGTTTTATTGTCTCCAAGACAGACCGTCATCATCCATTCAGAATCATTTTCCGTTCAATTGCATGCTCAGCACGTGTTTATTGACATGGTGGAAAACGACCGACTGGAGATTTCTGTTTCCTTGTGTGCCCATGCTAATTGGTAAAACTTTTAACAAAAGTTTCTGACCAAGACCATTCGTGTGACAGACTCCTTAAGTGTACTGAGATTCATTCCTGACATATATAAGATGGTAATTTTTCATATAAACTGTTAGTGATACAGGTTGTATGTGTTTGTTTTCTAGTCTTGTGCATGTTAATGATAGAAATCAAATAGTTAGATCTTCAATTAATTTGTTTACAGCATCAAATTCTCCTTTGCCTCCACCACCAGCATTGATTCAACAGCAACAACCACAGCATCCTCAACATCTAAAATTTGATTATCACCCTGGAGGTCAACCTAATTTCCCTCAGCAGCAACGGCCGGATCAGCAGCAACAGCAAAACAGAATTATCAGCTCAGAACAGGAAGATGATCCTTATGCTGCTACTGGACCCCAATTAACAGATGCTAGCTGGAGGCCTAAACAGTATTTAGAAAAAGGTTTGTATTTTTTTGCTTCTGAAATGTTTTGAGTGAGTTGTCAAACAATTCTTGATTATATTATTTATTTCAGTGCTAGAAATATATGTTGTATATATATATAAGATTATATTATGTTTATTAGTTGTAGCTATGTATGATTATATTCCATATTTCAGTGGTAGTTATATGTTATATTTTAGTTGGAATTATGTATAATTTCAGTGGTATTTATATTTCAGTTGTAGTTATATGTGATTATATTTCCATATTTCAGTGGTAGTTATATATGATTTCATTCCATATTCCAGTTGTAATTATATATTATATTTCAGTGGTAGTTAGATTGTATATTTCAGTGGTAGTTATATTTTATATTTCAGTGGTTGTTATATTATATTTTATATTTCAGTGGTAGTTATATTTTAGTTATATTTTATATTTCAGTTGTAGTTATATTTTATATTTCAGTTGTAGTTATATTTTATATTTCAGTGGTAGTTATATTTTACATTTCAGTGGTAGTGGTAGTTATATTTTATATTTCAATGGTAGTTATATTTTATATTTCAGTGGTAATTATATATAATTATATTCTATATATCAATGGTAGCTATATAACATTATATTTCATTGGTAGTTATATATGCTTATATTCTATGTTTCAGTGGTAGTTATATGTGGTTATATTTTATTTTTCAGTGGTAGCTATTTATGATTATGAAGCTGATAAAGCTGATGAATTAGCATTCAATGAAAATGCAGTGATCTATGTAATAAAGAAGAATGATGATGGCTGGTGGGAAGGTGTTATGGATGGTGTTACTGGATTATTTCCTTCTAATTATGTTGAACCTTGTATGTAAAATAAATGCTACTTTGATGACAGTTATGCTGCTAGTCTTAAAGGTCCTTGCACATTTATCTTGACTTGTAAAATTTGTGGGACCAAACATTTAATTTATTTCTTCTCACAATAAAAGAATTGATCTGAATTCTTACTATTTATTTACCTTTACACCAAAATCAGTCCCAGCAAGTTTTCTCCCATCCTCATTAAGTCTGATGACTGTATCGATAGTTAATGATATATTGTAGAGAAGTTTATAGTGAAATGGATGAGGACCTCCCATGTATAACCAAATCATGTAGGCTTTATAATTTGGGCATTTTTACACGAGAGATGATTTCCACTAATTTAAGTAATAAATAAGCTTTAATTGGGCAGAAAAGAACTACTCTACTCTATCTTGGCTAATATCATGGCTACAAACACTTGATTTATTACAATTTTATGCTAGAAAGGATACAGTGATTTAACTGAGTAAAATCACAATTTTAGGTCATAAGCTGATTTCTATCAAATGAGTTTATAACTATACACATAATGTGTTCATTATTTTATTACTATTATTATGTTATTGTATAATAAATATTTTTTGTATATATTATAATTAAGATCTGAATCATATTGTATATTTTTATGCATGCTTTATAAGTATTCTTAAGGACAATCATTATCACTTACTCATCAAGGACGAAGAAATTTCTCAAGAGCGAGAAAGAAAAACTTTGGAAAAAATAGATTATTTACTGAATTTACCTTTAAATCAAAAAAGTCACATAATCAGAGCGTGTCAAAAACATAACCATAAAAATATAATGTTATGAACACTGATAGATTGATGTTACTGTCGTGAAAAATATTGAATTCAAAGGGATTTTAAAGAGGTTTTTGACACTTGATAGCATCAATTTGAACCATTCCAATTTTCAATAAGATGTCTGTGGTCTTAGATATGATCTAAGACTAAAATTTAGTGTAATTGCAGGAATCACAGACGTCTGATTGAAAATTTGAATGGTTCAAATTGATGTTATCAGTTTTCTTGATACACATAAAAAAAAATTCTGCACAATCCCTTTAAATTTGTAAACTGAAAAGAAATTGTTACAAAATTATTTAGAAGTATTGACAAGAGGTCCCTGCACTGTGAACTAATTTATGTATATTTCTTGAGGAAATAATATTTAATGTACTGTATATATATCAATGCATATGTTTAATTTTCATAATGCCCTTAGAGCAAGTTTTTTTTTCATTTATTTTTATTTGAAAAACAAATGAAATTTAAATTATGTTAGGTCTAATATTATATTATTTGCTTACAATCAGTTCTCCATGGTTAACACCCACAATGAAAAAGAAAGAGTTTTTGATAATTTTATTTTTTGTTTACTTCCTCTACTGTATTATTTTCACTTTTTATATTATATTTCATTGAAGCTATCCTTGTATAATATAAATGTCTATACATAATGTGTCACTTTTCTTTTGACATGTTGTATATATTTTAACAATAACCAATTTGCCATTTACCAAAACATTTTTTGGTGCATCAAACATTATTAGAGTAAAATTATGCTACTTGCTTGACTAGTAAAAATTTGTTAAAGATTATCTTACACGTTATAGAGGAACAATAGAAAATATTTACTTTTACACATGTAGGGTATGCTGACGTTGCATCTTGTAGATTTACAGTATTTTATAGTGTTTTTGTATAGTCCAGTCTTCGAGATGGGGCACCATCATTAAAATTTGCCATTTGAAAATATAGATTAATGAATTGATTTTCAAAAGGTCTAAAACAATATTTATGGCACAGTTTTCATTTGTAAACTGATAAAAACACCAAGCCCATGCTTATAACATGATGGGGGAGTGGTTTTTATGCTATGTAACAGAACAGGCCAAGTAACAGGCCATAGATTTGCATGAAGCTTGCATCGTTCACTTGTTATACAATCAATATAGGATCAAAGGGAATTTTTGATATTACGTTATATTATATTTCATAGAACACTTTCTTCACATCCAAGAGTTTGTCAGTTTACAACAACTTAATGACAACAGTAACTTTAGAGTATAGACCTTTGGGTGGCCATAACGTCTTTGAGAACAGAAGTTCATTGCTTGATATGTTACGCATATAAAATATATTCTCCAGTCCTTGTAGATGGATATGGGACATTCATAACTTTTATATCCACTATTCCGATTAGCCTGTTCCCGTGTATTGATCCTGTAATATAAGAGAAAGTTCATTAAATTACAGCATCATTTCAGAAATCACAGATACATAATGGGTTATCAGAATGGTGCAAATGGGAGCTAAAAGTGTCTTTGATACCAGTCTACACTGGAAGCCTTTCAATAATTATTACGTTGTTATACATGACCAATGAAAAGTATGAAATAAATATAACTAATAGAGGTTATATTTTGAGGCCAAATTAGACTTTATTGTCCATATGTCATTATAAATAATAATTTTCCTTTTATTTGTTTATTAATTAACTAACCAATGCAGTTATTTTGTTCGGTGGTTATCTCATAATTGTCTTCGGAGATTGAAGCTCTAAACGCAGGTTTTCCACATGCTCCATCTTTGGCAATCATTTAGATTGACATCTTCACAATGTCAAGCTATTACCAACGTACTAAAACCTTGATTCGATAGCCGCCTTTTTTGTAAATGAAGCGATTTTATTTGGCGTACAATCCAATCAAATCAAATCGCTGCATTCCGTGATAAAAGAATAGTGGCTATTATCGTCAAGGTACGGTATACGAAGCTCGTAACAGCTTGAAACGTGAAGATGCTAGAATGATAGATTTGGTGAATTGTAAGACATCGTTTTTCATCTGTTAGCCTATTTGATTATTTTCTTTTCCTTAGTTAAATTGAATTGATTCAACGTTGTGTCACGGTGCCCGATATGACGTAATACATACCCACTTGAACAGTGATTATGACGTCTAGGCTTTTGTCAAAATTTTATCATCATATTCGGCTCCTCTTCATGTCCTTAAATCCACTTACTTTCGGTGAATTTGACCAACCCGGTAAAGAGAGCAACTCCATGACAGTATTTAAATTCAAACTGTCGACAGATGCTCCCTTCATCGTTTGATCTTGAATCTTGAAAATCGAACAACTCCAATCGATTAGCTTGTAAAAAGATCTGAATATTATCACATTTTAATCCATTAAGGTACCAAGTCCACTATTTGTGAGTTATTTTAACACAGGAAACTACACTGTATCCAAAACAGTGGTTTATATTCGACTAGAGGATGCTAAAAGATGTTTCCTATTCTCATATTTGCTGAGTTCTTCCAAATAATCTTCAACAAGGTTGATTGGGGGTAAATGAAGAAAAGTCGTGACTTTGACAAGGATTGAACGTTTAAATAATGAAATTTTAGGACGTAGAGTAGAAGACAGTTGACACACGATGCGATCTGTTCAAACAATCATTTTGTTGACAAAATTCACGAGGAATTCTCTCAAAAACAAGTTCGTTTACATTTGAAATATTTTCTCCACAAGTTCAATTTCATTTCTAAAATGTAAAATTTGAAAGTTAACGATATTTTCAATGCTAGGAGCGGATATTTGACTCTAAGTGGATCCCAAATATAAGCCCCTGTAAAATATTTTGCTGTAGAATGTAATATCATAAAAGTGCGTCAAATATGTTTATTTGAAAACAAAGTTATTAAGATATACATTCAAATCCCCCCATCAATCTACATTTCCGAACAACATGATTGTGTGTATTTTGTGGTGTCTGACCTTCGTTGATTTAATGAAATCGTGAACCGCATTTATTTTATATTATCTTCGGCGGGGTATAGAGTTTGCATAAATTTTTATATACATAGATAACATCAATAGGCTTAATATTTTTCAAAAATTCTTGCGAGACCCCTCTCAGGCGCATGGGATGTTAATTGTGTCTAGGGTGATCGCAGAGCTGTTGTATTTGGAGTCTAAATACTGACAGTTGTTCCCTCATTTAAACAGTCTGTGCCCTTTTTGTACCCCCCAGTCTCACTGCACTTGAATTTTCTTAGAGGGAAATGTGGTCATTTACCAGGTAGAGGGATCCTGGATTAAAATCTGCGCTCTATTTCAAAGCATTTCTTTTTTCATATAATATGCTACATGAAGTCCTACCAAATTCTATAGAGGGACGCATCCGAAAATGAAAGTTTCTCGTTTCGTTGCAGTGGGGTGATTTATGGTCAAGGCTAAATAACTTATTTTGCATAAATCTTTAATATTCTCTTCTTTAAAAAAAAAAACATTCCCACACCCTCTCTTATTGAGCACAAAATGTAATTGTTGGCTGGGAAACAACGACTATCAAATAAAAAGGGAGGCAATTTGAATGTATGGCAGATTGACCAATCAAATAATTTGTTTACGCTTCGCAACGGAAGTGGACTTGGCGTTCACGGCAACGGGAAACAATCGGCTTATGTCCGAATAAAAGATTTTGCTGTTAATTTGCATTGCTCTTTGCAATTTACGATTATTTTTAGTGATAAGACATAGGTAACGTATGACCAATAATTTGTCTTGTAGTTTTCTTAGTGACAATTTATTTCTAATTCTCATTTGAGAAAGAACGCGTTTTTGGAATAATGATTTTTAGGCTCTCGACATGTGCCTAGGCTTTGCTTTCTTACTCCTCTGTAGATTTGTTTAGTAACTAACTCTACAGTAGTCCATATTGCAGTCACTTACATAAAAAAAAGTCATTTTAGAAATGACATGCTTTCTTGCAGACTTTTTTTTAAGCCTAGAATTGCCTAGATGTCTGGTAGATCAAATTTCCTAATGCTTTTGTACTTTGTAATTGATTTATAACTTCTTTCTTTTAATCTTATATCTGTCTCACTCCTTTGAAAAATTATTCTTTCACATGCTGAGCTCAATTTATAGACCTAACCTTGCCTTAACTGGTAGCATACTTTTCATCTTTATCTTTAGTTTATGTGTACTCTTTACAATCTTTTTACTTCTCCTACAACATAGTCTATTATTTCTATTTTTATTTTATTCTTTGCTTTATTTACTCTTTATGTTTCATTTCCAAAAACTACCTCCTCTCTAGCTGTTAACAGAAGTATATAGTTTGAAAGATAGGCATAGATCTAGTTATCAACAAAAATGGTGGGTGAATACAGTTGACTATTTTCAAGCATTGAGTTGCGGAACTTATTTTTATTGGCTTATCTAGGATGAAGCTATTAGATTTTAATATAACTGAGCTTATTAGCCTACTATTTAGCTTATCTTTTTATTTGAAGCTTTTGATTTAGAAATAGGTCTCTTATTCACATTTCTTTCAAGTTTAAATTCTCATGAATTAACTTAAAAGCTTATACAAGTTCAAATAATTCTAACTCTGCAAGATTTTTATCTTTTTATTTATAATGATCAAAGTAAGAATACAGCTTGGTGATGAATTAATTATGTTCGCTTCAATGCATCATTTTAATCAATTGTTTTTTAGACTGCTGAAACTAAAAAGAAACCAGACATGTCTAAGAAACGACAAGAAGTTCAGTTACAACAAGATATTGAAACCCAAGAAGAATGGGAGGAGATGATGGCCAAGGAGGGATTATGGGGTAATCTTAAATTTTCTTAATCCTTAATATCAGATATCAGTAAAAAGGGCACATTCAGCATCTGTTCTTTCAATCATACCTTAGTCTTCCTATTATTTCCTATTTATGGAAAAGTACAATATTTGGACACAAGGGGAAAACGATAAACCAGTGAAAATAGAACATGGAATTTCTAGTTTAAAGGGACAGTTGTTTCTTAAAAGGAAAATTGAAGGGATTACTCGATTGTTTTACTTCTGAAGACTACTTTCACATAGTTAAGCTTATTTATATAGTATGTTATTATGTGTTATGTTTGATTGTTGTTTTAGTCGTTGATATTTATCAAGAGTGGTGTGGACCCTGTGCTGCTATGGTCAGTTTCTTTCGTAGAATGAAGAATGAACTTGGTGATGACTTGTTACATTTTGCTACTGTAAGTACAATAATTGATGCTTTAGTATTAGTTTTTTTTCATATTGATACCTTTATTCCATGATGATGATCTTTGACTTTATATTTTGACTTTTTCATATTCATATTTGTGCTTCATTAAGTAAGCCTAAATATGTAATGCTTGTTTCTATAACAACTTAGGCTCACAGTTAAGGATCCTTTCTACCAGCTGATCCTTGGTCAAACCTCTTGGCGCTGATCTTTCCCAGATTATCCGTACCCATTTACAGCTGGGTCGACTGAAATTATGAGTGAAGACTTTCGCATGTCGATCAAGATCAGAACCCACAGCCGCCATTTTCTCGACCATAACCAAACAAATGACAATTTTCCTGTGATATTTTTCACATAGTCTTGGACTACATCCATCTTCTGTTTTAATCTTATATTTTCTGGTCAATATTTTTAAGGCTAAAGTTGATACCATAGATGCTTTAGATAAATACAAAGGAAAATGTGAACCCACTTTTCTATATTTTGCTGTAAGTACATGATATTAAAACAAGAAAAATATTTAATGTTTTGAATTCAAAAGATGAACTGTTTTCACAAATGCATTCTGCTCCATTATTATCAGCCCTGTCACCAGGAATGAATTGGTGCAGGGGCTCATGTTTTTTACTCAGAAAATTTGAAGAATTCATGTCTGACAATTTTGAGGTGCCAAAAATGTATTTAAAATCTATATCATTTTGATTTTGTACAAAGACACTGTAAATGAATCTATCTCTGTTGAACTGAAGACGATTTTGCGGGGGCTTAATTCTCACTTGCTGGGGCCCAGCCCCCACCCCCACCCTGTATATTATATAAACTTAAATATGTCATAATATACTAAGAATTTTGAAATTTTTTAAGAAGCTGTTCAACAGCCATTAAGATTACTGACAAAACAGTCATATTTTGATTGATTTCAAATGACTAATTGGCCTGCAACACCTAAATAAATTTGTTCTTTTTCAGTGTGGTGTTTTAGTAGCTGTTGTCCATGGTTCACAATCACCATTAGTTATGAGAACAGTTACAGAACAGTTAGCTCAGGAACATAAAGTTATAGATGGTAATTCTCAAAGAAAAGAGGTTAGAACATACTGTAAACTGTTTGTACACTGATTTTCTCTTCCTTAGAATCTTTTGTTTTGAGCTCCAAGCTGCAAAAGCTTAATGCATGATGTGGAAGTAGTGTTGCTTGGCAACAACAAAAATATTGCAAATGCTCATCAGATTTCTGGACTGCCCAATAGGAATGCTGAGTTAGTAAGCTATATTCACAGTTAAACAGGTGTAGAAGCAGCTCGTAAGTAAAAGGCTTTATTCTTGGACTAGCTAATACAATAGATGTACATCAGAACTCACATTGTTATCCTTAAAAAATATGTGTTTTCGTAAAATCTTTTTAAAACACATTATTTTGTTTGTAATTCAGATTAAAGATCCATTGATAGGTCAGACTGATGATCTAGAGAATGGAGAATTAGATGAATCAGAATCTGAAAGTGAAGGTATGTAGAGTCACTTGTCTTAATCTCTATTAAAATTTTCAGCAAAATTCATTAAGTTCATGCTAGGATGAGATTCAAGATGACTGCTGCTTGTTCTTTTGACTAGGTTAAAAGAGTTGTTATATTTGATAGGCCTGTAGCTATCCCAGGGTCTGGGAAGGGGCAACATTTTTTCAAGGGTTTTCTCAACTATGTGAATCAACAAGACATTCAAATCAGGGGGCTAGAGTTTGGATACATACGAAAAAGACATAAAAATAAAACCAATCAACATGCCCTTGAGAATCTTTTGAGTTCATTAGACTACACTAAGTTCAACAACATTTCCAATGTAATTTCATTATTCTATTTTAAAAAATTGCTCCTTATTGTAATTGAGTTAATGCCTTCATAAAAAAATGTAGCCATTTTGATGTGTTTGCAGACAATATATATCAATACCTAGGAGAACATGTTAATTTTGGAGAATCTCTAGAATTTGCTAAGAGACAATCAGGTTGGGTAATAATTTCAGTGGAATATTGTAGCTATAGTTATCCCTTGTAGTTAGTTAGATGTATAGATAAATTATAATAAATAAATGTGAATTTTTATCCCAATACTACCTCTTAGTATGAACAAAAAATTTAAATTCATAAAACTAAGTATATAAATCATTAAAATAAGTAATTTCGAAACATGCTTAGAAGTGTGTTTCAATAATTATTTAGTTTAATTGATATATCGTCTTCTATAGAGATTCTATTCTTTAGTCATGGCACCTGGCAAGTCCAACTGATGAATATATACACATGTTGACCACGTTTGAGAATTCAAATTTATGTCCATTCTAAGAGGTAGTATTCCTTAAGAAAATGTTCAAATTATTTCCCTAATCACAAGCTAAGTTTGTTTTCAGTTTATTTTGGCCAAAATTCATAGTTTATTCATATCTGAACCATTTTTTCCCTTACCTTGTGTAAATGCAAAAAACTAGTTTTGAGGAATGCTGTTGATTTAAAATAAAAGTTTTTACCCAATGAAAACTTATAATTCTAACTTTTTATGTATGTTAATTAGAATGTAATATATATATATTATTCTACCAGTTATATTTTTTATATCATATATTATTAACTATTTTAGTATTTACAATCCAATAGTTCCCAAAACTAAATACATGCATGGCTATAATGTAGTTTAGAGTTCCAGATAGAATATGTGTACTCAACAAGACCAGGCTATGTTTCTTGCAATCTTCCCCTTTAGATTCAGTTAATTTTAATTAATGTATAAAGTATAGAAGGGGTGCTGATTTGTTTATTGAAGGGTACCAATTATAATATTCAAATCAAATCAAGTTGAAATTTGTATCAAGCTGTTTCACAAATTCACAATTTTGTTTAAAAAAATTAAAACTTTGCAGTTTGCAATGGGTAATTGATTGATCTAAACTATCAAGAATACATCGTGATATATAACAAGAAAACATTTGGAATGCTGAATTTTATGTTTAAGTTTTATTGAAGATATTTCCCAAGTAATTCAATTCAATTATCAACTCTCAATGAACAGCTAGTAATTTGCTTTTATAACGTAATAAAATTTGGTGTTTGTTTTGTTTTTGAAGAAATGGGTTATACTGTTGCTATTATTAAACCTGATGCTGTAAGAAATGGTAAAGTTGATGAAGTTTTAGAACAAGTAAGTTTAATAACATGTTGTCAAAGTTGTTGATTCATAAATTGGTGATCAATTGAAAGTAATTCATCTCAAGGTGTTTATGATAATAGGGACAAATTTACTAACAGCTGCAATGAACTGGATATATACAGAATCTGACATCTCAGATAGACTTATTTTCCTTGATAGAGACACAAAGATAAAAAAATCCAAACATAAGGTAATGTGCTATGCTATGGTTTGTGTTTCATAAGAAAAAATTTAAAACTCTGTTGGGTCTATTTATCTAGATGAAAGAGAAGGGTATAGATGTTGTAGCAGAAGAAGAAAGACAACTGACAGAAGAAGAGGCTAGAGAGTTCTACAGTCATCTTAAGGATGAGGTATGCTAAATGTTGAGAAAGAGCCCACAAATTTTGTTATGACACATAATGAACGGTCTTGGTCGGAGATAGTTGTCGCCAACTAGAGTCTTGTCAAGGGTTTCAACGATTGGCATGGGCACACAAGGAGAGAAAAATATCCAGTCTTTTTTTTCCACCATGTCCTTAATCACATGTAGAGCATGCAATTGAAAGGGAGATGAATCTGATTGGATGATGGAAGCACGGGCACATTTGACTGGCAGATTTTACTCCAGTTATTCAGCTATTCAGTTATTAAATTTAAGCTTTTCAGAATTTTTTCTGTGTGCTCATGATTTGCAAACTCCTTTGCTTAAAATTGATGATACTTTCAAAGTGCTATGACAAAGGTTATTTTGATTTTGATATTTTTAGGACTATTTTGAAGAATTAGTACAGTTTATGAGTAGTGGTCCAAGTCATGTTTTAGTATTAACTAAAGGTGCAGAAACGGATGGTTCAGTGTTGAAAGAATGGAGAGAAATGATTGGTCCAACCAGTGTTGAAGAAGCTAAAGAACAGGCTCCTGACAGGTGAGTTTCAACATATTGATAGAAAAAGCTTATAGTCCTTATTGACTGAATTTTTACTTTGACTTTGACTTACTGAATGGTGGTGTCTGGCAAATACAAGGATTCTTTCAACCAGCCTTTTCTTGGTCAAACATCTTGGCATGGGTCTTGCTCTACCCATTTACAGTTGGGTGGACTAGAATAATGAGAAAAGCTGACTTTCACAGACCAACCAAGATTAGAACCCAAGATCACCATTTGTCTATCATAACCAAGCAAATGATATCATTCAACACTCTTGGAACTTCACACCAAGTTTAATAAAATAAGATGGACCTGTGTGTCATGCTGCTGATATGAAGTTCAAAGAGAGGTGTGTGGTTTGACAAGAAGAAGATTAAAAATACTTTAAAACTGGATTTGTTTGTTTTCAGTTTACGAGCAAAATACGGTTCTGGTAAATATATGAATGCTCTTCATGGTAGTAGCTCTCCTGAAACTGCTGCCAGGTATGTAAACAAGTCATGTCATTTCTTTCAAATTTGGTGCAGAAGAGTAGGACGTAAAACTCCATTCATTTCATTTCATTTTCTTTCAAATTTGTATTGTAGTATTATTTAGTATGTCAAATAATTTTCATTGTGACAAACAATTAGTCAATTTAAATTGGTCATAATACAAATTGGTCACAATACAAATTGGTCACAATGTAAATTGGTCATAATACAAATTGGTCATAATGTAAATTGGTCATCATGTAAATTGGTCATAATGTAAATTGGTCATAATGTAAATTGGTCACAATGTAAATTGGTCATAATATAAATTGGTCACAATGTAAATTGGTCACAATGTAAATTGTTCACAATGTAAATTGGTCATAATGTAAATTGGTCATAATGTAAATTGGTCACAATGTAAATTGGTCACAATGTAAATTGGTCACAATGTAAATTGGTCATAATGTAAATTGGTCACAATGTAAATTGGTCATAATATATTTATCAATAATTTTGCCACAAGCAAGAGGTAAATTTGCCATGACATCAATGTGACATACCAGTATATGGTTAAAAAATTCGACCCCCACACTTTGTTAGTACTGTTGGTGCATTTTGTAATTGAAATTTATTTTTCTAGGGAAATGGCTTTCTTCTTTCCTAAACTGGCTGTTACGAAGAAGAAGGGAGTTGAAAGAACTTTAGCTTTGATTAGACCTGACGCTTTCAGAACAAAAAGAGGTAATACTACTAAAATATTTTGTCTTCATCTGCACCAAATATTTCCTTTTTTTTTTATCAAATATTACAAAAATGAGCAATTACCTTGAATCTATCGTTGGCCCATTAACAAAGGCTGTTTTAATGTGTCTTTGATATGAAAAAAAAATCAATCATCAGGAGATGTTTACCAAAATTTTGACATTTGAGACTCAACTTTGTAGGCTGCCATCATCAAAAACTTAATAGCCCTTGATCCTATCATCATTTTAATGGTCGTTCTTTTCAGATGAGATTTTAGAGAAAATAAGAGAATCTGGTTTTAAGGTAGCCTTACAGAAACAAATGACATTAAGTAGAGAACAGGCTGCAGAATTTTATAAAGAACATGAAGGTCAACCATATTTTGAAGATTTAGTAACCAGAATGTCCAGGTATGTTTCTTTATAGCTCAAAAATAGTTTTTTTAGTAGGTTGGTAGATGACAAGTTAACGTTCGCTTCCAGCAGATGCTAATATCTCAAACTAGGTAGTTGTTGGTAGTCGTAGTAGTTGGTAGTTGGATTTATTAGTACAGTCAAGTAACCTAATTTCGTGGAAACCTATTTTTAGTGGATTTCCGGAAAGGATTAATAATTTACATGTGCGACCTCGCGTGACCTCTGCATTTACTTGTTTTGATAAACATGGGTTATCTGTACAATATCAGCTAGTAGAATGAATCCAGTAGTTTCAAGCAAGGTAAAATGTATTGATGTATACTTTGACAAATACAAAATGGCGAATTTCACTTAATACCAAACGTCACCATTTTTTATCGGCTGAATTTCCTTATAATCCCAAGCGGTAATCGGAATTCCAAGTGTCGTCTGCTAGAATGTAGTCCAACGAATGAAGTCACATGATCAACTAGCGGATTCCGAGTCAGCAGAAAATTTCTATGGAACACAAAGTGGGCCATATTCTTATGTTGTTTCAGTGACTTATTTTGTCAGTCACTATTTTATTTTAAAATCGTGGTTCTTTGAAGGAATTGTCACTAGTTATAATGAATTGATATTAAAGATAAATACTAAGAGAAGTTAATTATACCACCCGGTATCCATACAACGTGTTTTTCTAGACTTATTTATAGTTCAAACATTGTACACGAAAATAGGTGACACATTCTGACGCCGTTGCCGAGTTGGTTGCTCATGAAATATGGGTCAAAGTGAAAGATTCATAAAGAAAATCGAAATAAACCAATTTTAATTATTTTGTAGAATATCTGAGGAAACATCTAAGACATAAAAAATATTTCGTTTTTTAACTTTGACAAAATTCGGTGTTGAATCCTTATATCCACAAAAATAGGTTACACCACTGTATTGGTATTATTTTACTTATAGCAAGCAAATAAGTACCAAAAACAGCTGAGAAAGTGAAAAATTTGAATTTTCAAGACAAACATGGCTGATATGTTTCCAATTTCCCATTCTAATCAAATAGTGACCTATGTTATGAGAAGTCACTAATGAAGGCTATGTGTATATTTTCAGTGGTCCATTATTAGCTCTAGGATTAGCTAGAGAAGATGCTGTACAAGGCTGGAGACAGAAGTTAGGACCTAAAGAAGTAGATAAAGCTAAAGAAGAAGAACCAGAAAGGTAAGACATCCTTGAATTATTTGATGCTCATTGAGTAAGGTGCTTTGCTCATTGTCCAAAAGGTTTGGAGCTTGATCTTGGTATAGATCAGGAGCCGTGGTGGCTCAGTGAGAAAGACACTTGCTCGGTAACCAGTAGGTCCAGGGTTCAATCCTAGCATAAATGTAGATAATACCTTTGGATTTTTCAACCTGGTTTCCCGTGCAAACTTTCCCCTGTCAGTGATGCAGGTCAGAGGAGCTGACTTGAAAAAACCTCTAGTCGTTTGGATAAGACAATAATCCATGGCCCTGTGTGCTACAGGTTGTGCACGTTAAAGATACCTTGAAAGTTCGAAATCGTTGCACCCTGCATGGTGTTGTCTGTCTTCATTAGCCCACATGGTACAGAAAATTCATTTGATATAGGTCTAATTTTAAGCTTTAATTATTTGCATTGCAGTTTAAGAGCTCAATTTGCTGTAGATGATGTAGAAATAAATCAGCTCCATGGTTCTGATTCTGCTGAAAGTGCCAAGAAAGAATTGGAATATTTCTTCCCTATGCAGCAAACAGTAGCATGTATTAAACCAGACAGTATTGGAACCAAAGGTAAGTTATTTCAGTCACATCTTGTCAAAGCACTAAGTTCTTGCTTAAACTGATGATTTGAAAATTTCCCCCAAAAAGTTCAGGGTTCTTTGACTTCTGGTCAGAATCACTTAAGCTCTGTAGAAAACAAGAAAATGAATTGTGGAAAATAAGACTGATAATTGGAAAAATATCAAAGAAAATGTAAGATTTTTAAATCAAAAAACAGATTCAGTTGTTTTGTTTATTTTCTGTTGGTAAATTCATCCATTATGGAAAGGCTCAGTCAGTAGCAAGATGGATTTCTGTCTGATGGACGATTAGATGCTATGAATTGGCTTCCTCCTCAAGCTTAGAAAAAAAAATTGAAGCTGCATTATAATCAATCAGTGTATCCTTTTGATATTTTTGATGTGTCATTGTTTTTAGATGCTATTATTGAGAATATCCATGAAGCAGGATTTAGAATAGCTGCCCAGAAAGAGACAGTTATAACTCGAGATATAGCAGAAGAGTTCTATTCTGAACATAAAGATAAAGATTACTTCAATGATTTAGTCAATCATATGTGCAGGTAAATAAATATAATAACCCATTTTCGTGACTTAGATATTATGTGATGCATTGATGTCCTGACATCATTTATGTGAGCTTCTTTAGAACAGACGGTAAGAGGCTTGGTTCTTTACATAACGATGTTTGCTTGGTTACGTTAAGTGAGTGGCGGCTGTGGATTCTGATCTCGATCGCCTTTTAAAGTCTGATGACCTTGAAGAAGTCACCTTCACTCATAATTCCAGTCAACCCAGCTGTAAATGGGTACGGAAAATCCGGGAAAGATAATTCCAAGAGGTTTGACCAAGGACCCAGCTGGTTGAAAGGTTCCTTAACTGTGAACCCAAGTTGTTATCCTTGTAAAATATAGTTGTTTCTTTTTCTCTTTCTTTCTTTCTTTCTTTCTTTCTTTCTTTCATTTCAAGAGACTGTTGTGGCTCAGTGAGTTGGTCACTTTTTGTGGTTTTACTCCAGAAATAGAAGGCTTACCTTGATGACCAACTCCTAGAGCTACAGGAAGTGTCCTTTTAAGATAAGAGTTCAAAGAGTAGGCTAATATTGATATCTGTTCAAAATTTTCTTCATTGTACACAGCTGTAATTGTTAACCAAATCAAGAGGTCAAAGATGTAATCTAATTGTTTTCAGTGGTCCAACAATGTTTATGGTATTATCTAAAGAAGATGCTGTAGAAGGTTGGAGACAAGCCATTGGACCAACTGATCCTGAAAAAGCTAAAGCAGAACTTCCTGAATCGTAAGAACATTTGTTTTTTCTTATCATTTTTAGGATGGATGGATGTTGCTCTTAGTTTTCTGGAATATATCAGTAATATTGTGATGATAATTTTGAATTGAATGCAATTTCGTTACATTTTAAACCTTTGTTTCAATTTTGAATTTTGTTATAATTTTAGCCTTCGTGCAATTTATGGTAAAGATGTTCTACACAATGCTGTACATGGTAGTTCTAATGAAGAACATGCTAAGAAAGCTATAGAACAGGTGTTTGGACCCCTACAGTTTAACTCTGATGGTACTGTTCAAGGTATTTTTTTATTTTACCCTGACATTGTGGTTAATTTGTGCATGGTACAAAATAGGTTGTTGGAGTTGGATTCTAAATTGTAATATATATATTTGAACAATATTTTACCAGTCTTGAAAGATTACTAACCACTCTTAGGAGGTTAACAACTCCATGTAGAAAAGCCATTTCGAACAGTTCTTTTTATTTGAGAAAAAGTATTTTGAAAATTTTTTTCAAAGAATAGTAAACAGTCATTAGGAAACTTGGGTTGAGTTTTAAACATTTTAGAAACAATTTTCAAAAAGATAAATAAGGAGCATAACGCAGAAATCATGATATTGACTGTTGATATCTTTTAGGCCTATTTAAAGTTATTTAAAATAACTCCGCATTTATACTGATCTCCCATTTTATAGTCAACGCTGCATATTAGTTCTCATTTGCATCTATTTGGAGGTACTGGTTTTCAATTGCTCGTTTTATATGTAAAGCCTATCATATGTTATAAATGGTTTTTCTAAACAATATAACTATATATTCATCATTTAAAATTTAATTGATATCCCCCTTCCTTTCCTTTAATATTACTAATATCTTATATCTTTTCTTAATCCTGCTTCGTATCGGCTATGGTAACCCCTTTTAAAATAATTTCACCATTCTCACTTAAACATTGCTTATTATCACAGTTACTGGTATCACTATTATTATTATTATGATTATTATATTTGGCAGAAGGAAATGTGCACATGTTGGCCCAAGCCAGTGGTTTTTGTGAGTTAAAAGTTTGTTTGGTAGCAGTCTAAAATAGAGCAAAATGTTAAGGATCAAAACAAAGTTTACATTTGGTCTAAAAAAAAAGAATTTTGAAAAGGAATGGTATTTGCTTGCTAGATTGGTTCTATAGCATCCAGACCTGGATTTTTTACTATCAAATTAATCAACCTCAAATTTGGGCTGCTGTCAGAAACAAACATATATGATCTGTTGTACTGCTTAAAATCTGCAAAAACTTTTTGGGCCGTAAAGTGGCTGTATTTGGCTCACAAGATGAGCAGATCGGCAGATCTAAAGTATTATGATCTCAAAATAGATCTTCACTATATATAATAATGCACTTTTCAAATCCCTGTCTAAGGCCAATTTATAAAATATATGAAAAAAACAAAATTTGATGACCTTTACCTATTATCTACCCTGTTTCCTATCCCATAGATAGTTCCTTTTTGTTAGTTAGCAGGTAACTGTGTCAGAGGTTTTGGAAAATCTTACATCATCGTTTTATCCATTTATCTAAGAAATATTGAAAACTCAGATGTTCAAGAATTTTTCGATCCTCTTTCATTGCACACTGCATGGCATTAGTTGTCTGTATTAGTTTAATAAGGTGCTGAAAAGTATTTCAACCTGCTGAAAATGTTTGTTGTTTATATTTTAGAATTAGAACCAGCCCAAGAAGAAGAACAACAAGGTAAACAAAATATTTTTCAATCTTGGTCTCTGGTGTGATATTTCACAAATATATTTTAAACAGGTAGCAGTGTTCTTATGAATTTGTGGTTATGAATTTGATAAAGTGTATAATACAACTGGATTTTAGATACTATTATCACTTTCCAGAATACAAATTTGACATCATGTTCATCTTAAATTAAATAAAATTTGGTTTATGTAACTGGTCCACATTTAACATAGATAATTTTACAATGTATCATTTAGATTTGAGACTTCAATTGAGAGTTTAATCTATTGTATTTTGCAGCGGAAAGAAAGTCTCCTGTTCCGCAGGCACAAGAAACAGCCCCAGAGTTAAAACCAGGTAGGCACTCTAATATTGTTTGCTAACTTTGTCTAATGCATGACATGTACTTTGTACAGCAATGTACAGCAATTGATAATGTCTTACGAAAGTAGCATTTCAATATTTTTTAATATAAATTTCGATCAACCAAATTTAATGTGTTATATCTATAAAACGACACATAATTTGGAGGTATCAGAAACTGTTGTATGTATCATCTGACTATTTTGTCATGTTGCTCTGTACTACTATCTCTTTGCTTCTCAAGACCTACAAATAAACTTAACTGTTTTTTTCTTTTATAGAAGAGGAAGAGAAAAAGCCTGAAGGTATGTAGGTTCATATATTTTTTTTTAATGTAAATACTTAATATATATTGATGTTCTCTTTAATTTCTTTAATTGGATACTGCATAGTTTTACCTGTCATTAATATGTAACAATTGAATTCAAATGTAATTTTTCAACTTTCAGAAACTCAAGAGTCTAAACCAGATGAAACAGGTACAGAACAAAAACCAACAGGTAGGTACAATTATCATACTATATCATACTAACTTATTCATATGTGGTTCAGGAATCACAGGCTATCAAATTGTGGATAATAGAAGCTACCCATGTTCCACCAATACACTGTTAAAATGTTGGAAAATACTTTTCAGAAGGTGAAACACAGTCAACAGAACAAGATACAAGTAAAGAAGGTAAGCCTAAATATTGATAACATTCTTTTCAATGTACATATATGTATTCTCTTTAAGAATTTATGTAATATCTTCATTAAAATAGTAAAAAAAATCATGAAAAGGATTTATTTGACACTGAGTAATTAGCTTAATTAAGATTTTGCTGTTTAATTAAAAGTTGATGGTAAAAATGATAAAACTGAAACCCATTCAGGAAGTACAGAAAAAGGTGATAAACCATCAACTCCTGAACAAGGTGCCAAACCTTCAACTCCAGAACTAACTGATAAATCTTCTGCAACTCCTGAACAAGGTGCTAAACCTTCAACTCCCGAACAGGGTGCTAAACCTTCAACTCCCAAACAGGGTGCTAAACCTTCTGCAACTCCTGAACAGGGTGCCAAACCTTCGACTCCTGAACAAGGTGCTAAATCTTCAACTCCTGAACAAGGTGCTAAACCTTCGACTCCTGAACAAGGTGCTAAACCTCCAACTCCTAAACCTGATCAAACAGATAATAAAACTCAAGATAAAGAAGGTTTACAATTTAAAATTAATGTGTGAATTGGCTTCCAGCTTTATTAGATTTTACCTATTGCTTTATTTACAGAAAGTCTTTTTCTTTTAATACTTATATTATGTTAGACCTTACATATAGAATTTTCTACATGATTAAATACAATTCATAAAAAAAAGTTTGAAAAATACATCATTGTAAGCTTCTCGGTTTATGAACAGAATAGGTTAATTCATCATATTCATCAGGTTTCTCAAACATTTTACAATATTAACCCTAGATTTTAACAAACTTTATAGCATATGCATAATATTTCAGTATTATCTCGAAACATTTTGAAGTGTTAAAAATAAACACTTTTGAGTTATTTTCCTTGACTTTACTAAAGAAAAAAGCATCGTGTGCTTGCCGATGTGATAGAGAAAAAGGTTTCAATCATATTTTGATATAACAGATATTATTCTGACAGCTGCTACAATATTTTTACTAACTGCACTCTGTAGCACAGCATATTAATTTAATAGGAGAAATCAGCTAAAAATAGAACATGTGACTTGAGTAACTGTTAACAACTGTTAAAGTTGTGCATCATGTGATACCACCACCTCTATGACATCATAGCTGATCTCTCCTTAGTTTTTGCACTAATATTAGCTTGGTATAGGTTAAATGATGTAGTCCTGTATCTAAAAGATCTAAAAGAAATTCAAAGGACACCAAATTTTATCCAAGACTGCACCGTTTTGGTTTCCACTGGACATCTGTAATTCCTTGCAAATACCATTAATATTACTAATGATATTAATTCCTATACTGGTATTTATTGTGATACCATCTTTTGAATTCCTTTTCAATCTTATGGTTGTAGAAATCCTCAACTATATATGTTCCTTAAATTTATCTTTGTGTTTTGCTTTTAAAACCCTTGTTTTCTTAATAATCAAATGAATATGTAGATGTTCTTCAAACAATATTTGTAAATCCCTTAACCTTATGACAAAGTTTATTTTGATAATTAATTTAATAATGCACATTTTATGTTTCTAATCATGCCTTCACTTTTCACTATGAAATTGCACATTTTATGTTAAGAACCACATTGAAATTGCAAATTTTATATTAAGAACCACATTGAAATTGCACATATTATGTTAAGAACCACATTGGAATTGAAATTGCACATATTATGTTAAGAACCACATTAGAATTGAAATTGCACATTTTATGTTGATCATCATATTTAATATTGATAATCATGCACTTCATTTTATTTGCACAGCTAACCAATCACAAACTACACCTGAAACTCAAACTGACCAATCAGAGCAGCCTAAAGCTGATGAGTCAAAACCAGCTGAAAGTCAGAGTCCAACCAAAGATATTGGAGAAACAAAACCTGAACAAACTGAAACAAAAGGTGATCTTTGGTTTGAAATGTAGTAGAATTAGTAGTTTTGGTATAGATCAAAATGTTCTACTAGTATTATGATTTAAAGGGACAGGTGGGCCATTCTATTTATCCAATCTCTCTTAAGTCTCAGAAATGTTTTTTTTTTAGCTAAGCCAATCAGTAATACTGTTCACAGCTCACAGTATTTGGCTTAGATAAAAAAAAAATGCCGTTTCTGAGACTAAGATATTATTGGTCAAAAAAAAAAGGTTCATTTGTCCCATCGAACTTTAAAGGCTTAAATTTCTGATGAACTTAATATGATATATTTGTTAACTTGTTCAATATTGTATTTTGTAGAAGAAGACACAACAGAAAAGAAAGCAGATGAATCAGGTACACAAAATTTTGGTTTCTTTTATGCAAAAGCACTCTGCTGTTCTTGATGAACCCTAGGCAGGTTGCTACAAATTAAGATTATTGGATTATTTGATCAACCCAGAGTAGTTGTATATATGTATGAGTGTTGTGTTGGTCGATTGTGATGATAAATGGCACAGAATCTTAACATACACCCCTCCTTTTTTATTTACAGAAAAACCCAAAACTCCAGAAGGAAGTAAAGAAGAAGGTGCTATTGAAGTTAAACCTGAAGTTGATGAAGATAAAAAAGACACAACCAAGAATGAAAGTGGTAAGAAAATACTAGAATCTTGATCATATTTTGAGCTGTTCATACATTTGCAGATTTTTTGTATGCAAAAATAGTTAATATCAGTTTTCAGTCCAATCTGCTTCTAAAGTCTTAACTTTATCTCTTGTAATAGGTTTACAATATTAAATATTGGGTCTACTTGAATACTGAGAAATGTTGACTTTACAGGGTCATTGATTGTGTTCACCATTCTCATGCGACTAATTCTTAAGTAATGGTGAACTCATATCAAACATTCACTGAAATGTTAAACGGATTGTAAAGAGGTTTTGTGTATTTGGGACACTGATAGCATCAATTTGCATCATTCCAATTTTTCATTGGACCACATCTGTGGTTCTTGCAATTCCATTAAAACTAAGTGTTTGATGAAGTCACTAGAGGAGAACTGCATAGATATAAGTAGTAGCTTCAGGTAGCTCCCCTCTAGTGACGTCATAAAAGGCGTTAGTTTAAGTAAAATTGCAAAAACCACAGAAATCGGCATGAAAATTAGAATGGTGCAAATTGATATCAGTGTTCCTGATACACATAAAAATTTTGAAAACCTCTTTACAATCCCTTTAACTCTCAAAGAATGTCTTGATACATAGTCATCATCACAATTTTACTTATTAATAATCTTTTTCACTTTCAGAAGCCTAAAGAAGATAAATCCAACTTGCCATCAGCATTTAGTTTTCAAAACTTTTACACCGAACTATCTTTCATCAAATTGTATTTCCATGCCTTAATTATATTCTCTGCCAAAGTATTGTTTTTTTTTCAAAACTGTATATGTCATACCAAATATTGTCACTTGGAAGCTTTGTGCCTCTTTAAAAGTCAAAATAATGCTTAGAGTTTAGATTTTTGACTGTTACATAAAGCATATATGACCTTATTTGGTTTGATATTTTTTAGGTTATATAATCAAAAGCCTACACTATTTTATATAAAAACTTCAGTAATGCCCTAATGCACCTTAATAGCTTCAGGAAAAGTATTTCTATTTTGTGATATAATTCTAATTGTAAATATAGTATTTATTAGTGTTTGTTTGTCATATTTTGTCATTAATGTTAATTATCTATATCATATCATATTTTTAAATTGTTATACATGTTATAGTGATCAGAGTTGATATTTGCTTAAAGTCTCATGGTTTGCAGCAGGACTGTTTGTTTAGTTTTATTTGCCAGTGAAATTTGACAAAAATTCTGGTAGCAGGCTAAAATTATAGACTATGAAAATACACTAAAATTGTGTTTCCAACAGGATGATCATGCCCAACTTCAACTCTGATGATTATTTTCAGTCAAAATATATCCATTGAACTGTGATAGCCATATTAAAATGTTAAATCTTAAATTCTTCTTTACTAAACATCTTCAAAGGGTAAAGGATACCCCTCGATAAAATTTGGCCAAAGTTGCAAATGTGAGTGTTATGACTTGACTGATGATCAGTCTATTGGTGAATGCCTCATTCGAATCTCATCATCAATATGGCTGCAGCCGTAGAAAAGTTCTGCTCAACCTCCAAACCCCCAGACAATTTTTTTTCTGTGTTGGAACAACGATCGCATAAGGTAGTTAACGTCAACAGTTAATTATATGCATAACAAACAAAAAAAATATCAACGAAAATTTACATGTTCAAAATCAGACTCATCTACCTACAGACATTTCTTAGTCAGAATTTTGTTCTTGAATTAAATACAGAATAATTATTGGGTGCGGGTCATCTTTTCCCCGACATGAATACTGAAAACTCCATTCTTGTGTCCTACGTCACGAAATGTAGGCCATAAGCACGTGCAGTCGTAACAGACGAATTTATGTGATCCACGAGAAGAAAGGCAGGTGTCTTCACATAGTAACAAACTTTTGAACTTTTTGTCTGAATCATTTACACAGATGATGTGTGTGGTGGATTTCTGCCGATGAAACCTTTCGTTGAATGGCAAAGGAATTATTAAACGCCAGAACGTGGTTCGATATTAAGGAGTTACAGAAGGAATATGGTGTCTTAACAGTGTCAACATATATGGTAAGTTATGTTTGAAAATGATTCTTTTGCGGTAATAGAAAAGAAATGGCAGGAACACACTGTTGCTAATGTACAATCTGTTGCGTTGGAACGATACATTATTTTCATTAACATTGAATATACCTTTTATATCAACGATTTTTTTTACACTGAATGATTTTGTTTTATTTACAACGCGAGATTATGTTCAGTGAAACTGAATACTCTCTTATAACGATGTGACATTATTTTCAGTAACACTGAATATAAACTCTTTACATCAACGAGACATTATTTTACACTGAATATACTCTTTATAACAACCAGACATTATTTTACACTGAATATACTCTTTATAACAACCAGACATTATTTTCAGTAACACTGAATATAAACCCTTTATATCAACGAGACATTATTTTACACTGAATATACTCTTTATAACAACGAGAAACTATTTTCAGTAACACTGAATAATATATACTTTTTATATCAACGATTAATTACACTGAATGATCGCTTTTTTTCAACGTAAAATACTGGATATTCTCTTTTGTACAACGAGATATTATTTACAGTAAGTGCAACGTGATAATATTTTCATTAATACTGAATAAACTCTTTAGTACGAGACGTACTTATAACCAATGACGTTTATCAGATATTGTCTTGTCTTGTGTGCCGTTCTTTATTCTCTTTATGTTCATTGTGACTGTTTTTCAGTCCCTTGTGGATGGCCTTTTTAGTTCATTATTTTATAGCGGTCTTTAAGCATGGCTGTTAGTCAATACAATTCTCATTTCAAAGTAAGCAATGAAAGGAGTTTCTTTAGGCATATTTTGAAGCAGTTGATTTCTTGCATGACATGTAAATTCCGATTTGATTGTATTACAAAGTTATCTTATCCCAAGTTAGTCCGGTTAAATCCATCATTGCTTAAGGAGCATAGTTTCTGAAGGGGATATTTGGCTAAAGATCTTGTAGGGCTACTGAGTCAGTCAACCAAAGGCTAGTTTCTTAAGCACCACGGCATATACCTGTATCTTATGTTGGTTTCTACAGACAAATCCGGCAGCAAACAATAATGTAAAAATCTGCTTTTAATATTCCTTTTATTAAACAACACAACAAGTGAATGAAATTCATGAATCTCAAAAAATATCTTTTTGAATAGTGTAGTGGATAATGAATTTCTATTTCATAGGCAATAAAAATTAGTAAACACAAATTGTTACAAATATATATACCATGCCATGCCATATCAAAGCAATACTATGTTTTAGAACGAACATAAATTCAAGAATTTTAAACTTGGCCAATAAGAGCATATATTCACCAGTAGATATACCTGGTGTCATAAACTTATAAAATCCGATAAATCCAAAAATCGTAGTGATTATCCATAAATATGCAATTAACTATTAAAAATACTTAATATTAAGATTCAACGTCTTTTAATAATTACTTAGTTTCATGAATTTTTCAGATTTTACAGGGATTCTGTTGTTACTTTATGACACCAGGTAAGTTCAATGAATATATATTCATATTGACCATTCTTAAGAGCTTAAATTCTATGTTCAATCTAAGACATAGTATAACTTTTATTTTTGATTTCTAACAAAGTTTTTTCCCTTAATTAATATTATAAAAAATATTATAAAGAGCATGCCAAAATATAAATAGCTATATTATAATAAGTCATTTAACAAAATACTAATTGAGTAGACTTCTATGATTCAAAATATTGCTCTTACTTTTATAATATTATGAAATTTGTACTTTTAAAATATTGAATATGTACTACATCTAACAGTTGATTCTATCAATGTATCTATAAGCTTGGTAATAATTATAATAGTCATGATTATTAACAATGATAATTGGACTGTTAAAATGAGTTTAGTTCAACAATATGTTGTTAAGATGTATTTGAGTATGTCATTTCTAAAAAGTTCAGACAAAAAAAAGCATGTTTACAAGTTACAACTATTGCCTTATAACTAATACAGTTTATCAAAATAAAATCAAAATAGTTTCATTGATTAATTAAATTGAGGAATTAAAAATGTGGTGCATCTTTATCCCACAGAGTTTGTAGATAGTTGTCGATGTCAGTGGAGGGAAAACGATCTTGGAATGATTGGATCAAACCACCAGCTGAGGCTTCATAGGATACAATATCAACACTCTCACCTAAAAAATATCATTGTATAACTGGTATGTAAATGGACACAGATTTTTACCATTTTGATAATCATGACTACATTTTTTGTGGGTGAATATCCACCTAAACAGTCAATACTAAAATGTTGATTTTTTTACTTCTGATACAACAATATTTTGATGAAGCATCTTGCAGCTAAAGAAAACTCGCAAATATAAATTCAAAAGAACTTAAGGGCTCTAAGTGCCAATATCTTAGAGAATTCTGCTTACCTTTCACTATAGTATTATGTTGAACAAACATTTTTCGTGGTTGTTTTCTAGCCATGACAATTTTGCGCAAACTTAAGAAATGTGGTTCACAGGTATCATTGACATCGGAGTAAAAATCATACATATTTTTACCTTCATCATAATCACCAGTCGTTTTATATACCTAACAATATATAGTAATAATTACAATTCCATGATTTAATTCAAGCATATGGAAACAATAAGAGTAAAGGATTTTCTGGATATCTCCTCATTAGGTGGTTGGACAACATGAAAAACCAGTAGATGAAGGATTCAAATTTGAAATGGTTTACTTTCAATTAGTTACACTTTGATTGTCAAGACATTTTGCCAATGATTATGCACAAAACAGATTTAAAATATTTTCAAATCAATATAGTTTTAGAATGATAACAAAAGTTAATTTGTTTTGTTCTCTTTGGATGAAAAATGGGTGGGTTTTATAATGTTCCAGGGTAGAAACCAGGTCATAGTTAAGATTGGTGGAATTGCTCTCTTACTAACCTGTAATTTACGTAGAAATTTCCCAATGGCTGGTTTACCAACAGAGATTATTTTAGCTCTGTCTAATATGATACGTAAATCTGGATTTCCATCTTCACCGGTTAATTTCTCAATCTTCACAAAATCTTCACCAGCTTCTAATAATACTCTCAATATTACAAATCTGGCATTCATATGAGCCTGAAATTATATATTGTGATGTAACAAATGTTAGTTGTCAAGAATCATACCCTTGATCTTACATGCGAATATCATGAGTTGATAAAAGCTGAGGCACATGTTTCACATAAAGAGGTTTGTTGATCTATAATGACCAATATTTATCAATGTAAGGTGGAAGTCTTGAAAATCTGGATCAGTTAATAGAAGATCAAATAGTCCAAAATATCAAAGAAATACCATAAAAATAAAGTTACCTGTTTCCATTTACCAGTTTCTGGGGAATAGAATTCTAACCCAATCAAACCAGCTCGTACCATATTTAACCAGTTAATATAGATGATATCATCAGCATCATCACCAACATGACTAAATATTCTAGAAAAATATCACAAAATAAAAATTGAATCAAGATATCAAGTCATTTCTGGTGTTTTTGATTCCGCTCTTTTGATCATAGCAGCTTTCCCATGCCTTCCAAATCATTTCAGGTGTTTTAAATCTTTGTAATTTAATTCATCAGGAGCTCCTGACTCAGATCCTTCTTTGTGAGGTTCTATAGCACAGTTGGTTAGAGCGTCATTTGTATTGTTATGTCGAGCAAATGGTGGTTGTAGGTTCAATTCTCGATCGGCGTGTGATAGTCTGATGACCATGAAGTTGTCTTCAAGGATCCTCAACTGTGAACCTAAGTTGTTATCCTTGTAAAATATAGTTGTTTCTGTCTTTCTTTCTGATTGTTTTAGATCTGATTCAAATCATTCCAGATATTACAGATCCCTTGTGATTCAGAGTTGTTTTTAAGCTTAACAAATGTAAAAAAATAGATCATTTACATACTTAAGTACATCAGTTGATAGACAAAGATACAAGCCAACACATTCTGCTCTACATTCTTCATAACTAGCAGCTACAGTAGTAAATTTACTATCCCATGTTTCGTTATGTTCATACCACTTACTGATCTGAAAACAGAAACAATTGTTTATAACTAGTAGCTCCAGTAGTAAACTTACTATCCCATGTTTCATTATGTTTATACCACTTACTAATCTGAAAACAGAAACAATTGTTTATAACTAGTAGCTCCAGTAGTAAACTTACTATCCCATGTTTCGTTATGTTTATACCACTTACTAATCTGAAAACAGAAACAATTGTTTATAACTAGTAGCTCCAGTAGTAAACTTACTATCCCATGTTTCATTATGTTTATACCACTTACTAATCTGAAAACAGAAACAATACTTTACAGCTAGCACTTAAAATAGATTGTTAGCCAAAAAAGAAAGAGTAAGAGAGAAATACAAACCTTTTGGCCAGTTTCAGTATGAGTCACTGCCTCAATATCAAAATTAAATTTACCATCCTCACCCTGAAATAAGAATTTTTTATAAGACATATGATTTCCAGGGATTCCAAAAACCAAAATATGCACAGGCTATCATCAATTTGAAGAGATTCGAAAGGTTCTTTTTACTTCTCATATTAGAGAATTTCAGACACTTATACCATCACAAAAACCTATCAAGCAAAATTGTATTTGTGATGGTGACGTCTTAATCTAGTAATGTTTTTCTTGAATTACATGAACATCCGTTATCTATAAGGTGCGGACTATAAACTAAACTTAATTAACAAACTATACAACTTAAAAACTAATATGCTCATAAAATACACAATTTACAGTATTATACAGGCATTGATAGTCCTATGATATCTTAGAACAAGCACCTGAACATACCTTGATAAAGAGTTTACCACTACCATGTCCTAATAATTCATGTAAACCAACTTGTACTTCAAAAGATGGTAGTTTCCATTTTACATAGAGTTCCTACAAATTACAAAAACAGGCTTAACATAACATCTATATAATATATAGTTGTAGCTCTGTGGGTCAAATTATTTTCTAATACAATAAGAAATCACATGGGATAATGCAATTCTATTAAGTCCAAAGTTTAATATGTATGCTTATAGCTCATAGTAGTTTTCTGTGGTTAGTTTGACTTAACCTTTGTAGATACAGCTATCAAGTCACTGTTTGATGACAGTCTTTTTTATAACCACAGACAAAAAGAAATAACTTTTAGCACTAGTCAAATTGAATAAGAAAAGTTAGTGTATATCATACCTTATCAGCTTCATTAAGAAATGTTATTTTAGTATCTTTATAACCAGATGTTAACACATTTCCCAAAGATACATTTTTAAATCCTTCATTTTGTCTTATATCATTATCTGTAAAAGAAATATAAATATATCTAATATATATGATACTGATACTAAATAATACTTAATACTTAATACTGATATAACATACTAGCATACTTAATCCTGATATAACTTACTAGCATACTTAATCCTGATATAACTTATTAGCATACTTAATCCTGATATAACTTACTAGCATACTTAATCCTAATATAACTTACTAGCATACTTATCTTGACATAACTTACTAGCATACTTAATCTTGACATAACTTATTAGCATACTTAATCTTGACATAACTTATTAGCATACTTAATCTTGACATAACTTAATAGCATACTTAATCCTGATATAACTTACTAGCATACTTATCCTGACATAGCTTATTAGCATACTTAAACCTGATATAACTTACTAGCATACTTATCCTGACATAGCTTATTAGCATACTTAATCCTGATAAAACTTACTAGCATACTTATTCCTGATATAACATACTAGCATACTTAATCCTGATATAACTTACTACCATACTTATCCTGACATAGCTTATTAGCATACTTAATCCTGATATAACTTATTAGCATACTTAATCCTGATATAACTTACTAGCATACTTATCCTGACATAGCTTATTAGCATACTTAATCCTGATATAACTTACTAGCATACTTATCCGGACATAGCTTATTAGCATACTTAATCCTGATATAACTTACTACCATACTTATCCGGACATAGTTTATTAGCATACTTAACCCTGATATAAATTATTTGCATACTTATCCTGACATAACTTATTTGCATTTTCTGTGATTCATCTTGGCTATTATGGGAGGAGATCAAAGGAGCAGTTGACCCTGTGAACTGATCTCTGACCCAACCTATTTCACCACCACCGTTGAGATCACGTCACAATGGCTCTATACTTCCTCTTTCATTTTGCGTCAAAATAATTAGTAAATTAATATTATATCTCATAAAACATTGACTCATTTTCTTCATTTCATTGGCCATAAAGATGGGAATTTCATATCTATTTGCAACATATGGTCCACTTTGCTTGAGATATTTAGTTTCCAATCAAAAGTGTAGTGCCTTAGTTGGGAAAGAACAAGGATAAACAAGAACTTTAAGACAATTTATCTTGTTAAGATTTCAGAATATGCTCTTCTGCCAATATTTTTGATACTTACAATTAGGAATGTTAATACCAGCAGGTATACCACTACCACCAAATGCTAGAACATCTAATGATGTAAAATCTGGTCGTAGAAATTTATCTTTCTCGTACTCAGAGGGCCAAGGTAGATGAGCTAGTAGGTGTTCAGCACTGCTCACCAAATCACCAAATTTCTTACTCATTTCTTTATTTACCACAGCAGCAAAACCTTCAACAACAAACAATGTCTGTATTCCATCAAATTAGGGCTTGAATTCTGAACAGGCTGCTGCTTACATAAAGGTCCAAAGCTTGGTATTAAATAAACATACAACTCATGTCTTCATAGTCTGAAGTTTTAGTACTGAGCATAATGCCTGCCAGTTTAAAGATCAATAAACAAGTGGTTGCCTAGCAAGATACGCCCCCTTTCCTGATACATATTCAGTAAATCAAGGGCGGTCACCTATCTGTGTCAAATCATATCAAAATCTAATTTGTGCAAGATATTGTTGATTTAAACAAACACATATTATTGAATAAAATTCTGAAATAAACTGTCACCTGTTATTGCATTCACAAGCCAACAAATTTTGATGTGTTTCTCCTAAGTCAAGGGCAATAACTCAAATTCTGTTGATCGCAAAATTGGCAAATTCAATTTCGACTAAGATCTCATCATTATAAATGATCACACCAAATTTCATAAAAATCAGATGTAAATTGTAGTCTCTATTGTGTTCACAGGCCAATTGTGGACAGATGGACAGGGGCGACGACAATATACGATAACATTTTAAAGATCAATAAGAAATGTGATGTGACATACCTTCAAATTCACCACGAACACCATAAGGATCTCTATAAGATTCTATAAATCCAATGTAACTATAATAATCAAAAAATTTTATAATGCAATCAATCTATCATATCTCACATGTACAAGGAACTTTCTCCACACATTTTCTTTCACCAAATTCTACCATTTTATCCAATTGGTTTTAGTTGTTTCATGGGCTGTATCTTGTCTTAATACATCCGTTAATCGTAAAATCTATCTATGCTGTCAGGATTTTCCAGTGATAAATCTATATTTTGGGATTTTGTTTTTGTGGCTAAGCCTGGCAAATTGGTTTTGCTATCTTCAAAATCCATCAGACCTTTCTGAATTCAACTTGGTGAATTTAACTTACTGCAGCACCTACATGATGATAAAAACAAAATGGCTTACGTTTCAACTATAGGTGAAGTGTTTTTGATCCAGTGTCTAGAACCATCTTTATGAGCTGGTAATGAACCAGTAGTAAAACTTTTAATATATTCCTCCAACATCTTCTCTTCATTTTCATTAGCAGCATATTTCTATTGAGGAAAATAAGAAGTAGAAAATGAAACTGTAGCCATGTAAAAAGTTATCAATCACTAAAAAAGGACCAAAGAATTGAAGCCCTATGCACTACAGGCTATCTATATAAAAGGTCTATCCACAGTTAGAAATAGTATAATGTTTCTGTCCTTCAGCAAAATGACTGTAAAGCATTGGTGGTGTTCATTAGTTGCAGAAAATTTATTTCATTTCTTGCAATTTTCAAGTCATGTCTAGTTTTGAATGTGAAAAGAAAAAATTGTCTTGCATCTCAGGTTTATTAAGGCTGATCTATTATCAAAATCCATAAGATAGGAAAAGTATCTTTGAAAAAATTTGTCGTCATATCTTACCTTGGCCAAGGTTAAATTCTCACACACCAGTTTCATTAGTGGTGAATAATCTCCCCTGGTAACTTTGAATGATAAAGACTCTGTTGAACCAGACGGTGCAAATTGATAATCACCTAATATTTTGTCATAACCTGGGACGACTCCAGCTGAAAATGATTCACATGAACGAATAAAATTAAACACGGTATAAAATGTTAATTGGGAAACAAACTTTAATGTTATGTAAGTGTCCTCTTCAGAATCTTTTTAAATAAGAAGACCACCATCTAGAATTTATATCATGGCCACCATCTAGAATTTATATCATGGCCACCATCTAGAATTTATATCATGGCCACCATCTAGAATTTATATCATGGCCACCATCTAGGATTTATATCATGGCCACCATCTAGAATTTATATCATGGCCACCATCTAGAATTTATATCATGGCCACCATCTAGAATTTATATCATGGCCACCATCTAGAATTTATATCATGGCCACCATCTAGGATTTATATCATGGCCACCATCTAGAATTTATATCATGGCCACCATCTAGAATTTATATCATGGCCACCATCTAGGATTTATACCATGGCCACCATCTAGAATTTATATCATGGCCACCATCTAGGATTTATATCATGGCCATCATCTAGAATTTATATCATCGCCATCATCTAGGATTTTTATCATGGCACTGAAAGAATCATTTTTTAGACACAAATGCAGTGAACTTATTTTAATGTGTACTGTCCCTTCTCATAAACATAAAAGGGATACTCTTGTTCTTGTGCATGATTTATAGTTTTGTATTCAACTTTAACTCAAAGAGTTTTATACCTTGAGTATCAGAAGATGCCAAACGAACTTCATATCTTGGTATCTTAGTACTAGGGTCTTCAGTTTTAAACAATCTTGTATTATAGGCACTTATATCCTAAAATTTAATTTAAAAACACATTGTTCAATATTTACTCAATATCATCTTTTTTGACCCTGACTCCGACCCTGTTTTCTTTGATGATGAATCACATGAGAAAATGTCACAGTTCATAGTGCAGTGGTTCCCAACCTATTTCAGCCTTCACACTCCTGGAGCAATCATCTGGACCTATTACACCCCAAAAATTTGTTTGTATCCACATTTGCAGAATGTGATTATGTGAATAAAGTTTTCTTTGAAAGAAAGATTATATATAAAACTTACCATTTTGTTAAGGAATTCTTGAGTAATGTCTGCATCTTTTTTATCACAATTACCAGAAAAATATGTAGTTGTTCCCTAAAATAGTAAAATACACATACTTTTTCCACCAACTATTAAATAGACTGATTCTAGCAAATGTAGAGGAGCAGGATGGAACAAATACTTTTGAAAAAATTTTCAATACAAGCATGAGAAAACACATTAAAAAAATTTTTTGAATATGTTAGTAACTCGAAATATTAGTGAATTAATATCATTTTGAAACCTTGTTTTTACCAATGGTAATATGCAGCCAAAATTTAGACATTAATTTCCAGGAAGGCAGTTTGTGTGATGACAGTACCTTGTCTCCTAATCCCAATTCTTTCTGTTTGTCTTCTAGAGAGAATATTCTATCTGATACTCGATTCCACAGACCCTGAATAATTTTACCATCCTTCTTAGCAGCTTCACTATTCAGAATAATCTTTTCAAACTTTTCCTGAAATTCAATTTTCATTTTCATTAAAGTTTGATGGAATATTTTATGATAATAAATATTCAAATCCTCAAGTGATAATGCGATTGATCACTTTATAACTCATTTCATTACCTTGTTCTGATCATTTTGTTTTTGAAAAAGCATCTAGTCGATTGAATGGGACAATAAACAGAGGCCTTGTGTGCTACAGACTGTGCATGTTAAGTATATAGTAGCCTAATGCCACTGTCCTGGCAAAATTTCCCTCATTGCACACTGCATGGCATTGCCCTATTAGGTGCTGAAAATTAGGACAAAACTCATTTGTACAATAACAGATTTATATAGCTGAGAATGAAGAGTATATTTGCCCTCTTGGGCCTCATTGATAACAAAATACCCAATATTCGGCATATAACAATTAATATTCTCATACCTTTGAAATTCTTGGAACAAATTTGCTGTCACCAAAAGATTTATAATTACCCATATTGGCATAGAAACCAGCAGCATATATGAGGAACGCCTGAAGATTTAATAGTATGCATATAAAAACCAATAATCATTGTAATGAGCAATTCTTGTTTTTTTGTGGCATTCATGGGGACAAAGGAACATCAAGTCATTTGATACTATTTTCTGTCGATTCATATACATTGGAATACTCAGATATTGGCTCTGATTCAGATATTGGCTCTCATTCAGATAATGGTTCTCATTCAGGTATTGTCTCGGCTCTCATTCAGATATTGTCTTGGCTCTCATTCAGATATTGGCTTGGATCTCATTCAGATATTGTCTTGGCTCTCATTCAGATATTGTCTTGGCTCTCATTCAGATATTGGCTTGGATCTCACTCAGATATCTCGGCTCTCATCACAAGTCTTCATCTCTTTACTGCTTTTTTTTATCTTTATGAGCAGAGTAGACAACTAAATACAACGAACCGGGCTGCAAAACATGTTATGTAAGCTTGTCTTAATCTTTAGTTCGTGAATTTTGCTTAACACAAAAGACAAGTTTGTTAGTCTAATTCTTTATTCCTGTCAACCACGGACCAAATACTGTAAAAACTGACCTGGAATTCTTCTTCATTAATACCATTGTCACTAGCTACTTTCTTTAAATCTTCCAAACTCTGACCACGAAATACTTTCTGTAGTAATACAAAGATACCAGGAGATTCTGGAGAAGTCTAAAAAATAGAGATCCAATGATAAAAATGTAAGATTTCTTCATTCTTGAGCAAAATGAAATGTTTTAAATCTAGCACAGAAGATGGGTACTATTTGCTTTCTACGGTTTCTATCTTTTTTTTCTGCAAACCACATTAAGTGCATTGTTTCAGATTAATTTGTGTACATGTTGAAATTTAGCCACAGTAACTTTGCTGATCCAAATTTAATCCATCTCGAAAAAAAAATATTCTACAACACGAAACTTCAATTCAAATCCATTGCAAACTGTCCTCTTTTAGCCATTGGACTAAAAAAATGGTACTAAAGACACCTGCTCTGAAAAATTACCTGTATTAATACAATTAAACCACCAGCAAATGAAGCTTGTGAGATATAATGAGAATAGAGTTTCTCTCTATCAGTTAAAGCATTGAAAGCATTGGTACATTCTAATAAACAGACACCAGTATCATTGGGTAGGGTATACTGGGATACATCAGCCATTGTTTCTGAAATAAAAATACATCATAAAAATAAAAAATACATTATATGCGAATTCACTGCAGTTAAGTAACCTTAATCTAAAAGCTAACTAAAATTTTTCTAGCATGTACCTATAAATTCTTCAATATAGTCAAATTAATTTCCAATTTACTAATCAATCATTAAAATCATGTTCACCATTTTCACAATGTCGGGCTATTATTTTTACGAACAGCGTCTAATATATGACTGCATTCCTTCATGCAGGAAAAGAGGTCAATGTCAAAGTATTAGATGTAGTTCCTAATAGCTTGACATTGTGAAAATCCATGTATACCAATTGCTTATGATCAAATTTCTAGTGCCAAAATAACTTATGTTCAAATTATAGTTCCCAACCTATTGTATTCTAAATGCTATTTAAAATAGTCAAAGGACAAATTTCAAACAATCTAAACAAATGAGTTTGTACATGTTTTATGACTTGTCCATTCATGTAATAACCAACGAATATAAAACAAAAATAAAAAAAGAACTTCCATAGAAGAGATTTAAATTTAAGGCTAAAAAAAATCTATGTTTACTCTGTTTACTCTCTACAGTCATTTTTAAAGGTTTTTTTTTTCTGGCCCCTTGATACGCCCATTGGGACACTTAAAGCTTCTACTAGCACCAATTTCTCTGACAACACCTGGCCCCATATTCTTAGCGCTAGGATGTCCTAAGTTCTTATCTTCTAACATTGATTCTAGGACATCCTAGCGCTAAGATCGTTTCGAGAATACGGGGCCTGATGTCATGTTTCCTAGTTTTATATGCCCAAATTTAGTGTGTTTGTTTAAATAACAATATCTTGCACAAATTAGATTTTTGGTACGATTTGACACAGATAGGTGACTGCCCTTGATATACTGAAAATGTATCAGGAAAGTGGGCGTATCTTGCTTGGCAACCACTAAAACCTCTAATGAATACATTTAATATAATCAATTATAAACAATTTACAAATAAATAAAGCAATACATTTCATTTGATGTCAAGCGAAACAAAAAAAAAGTAATACTTAGATGGTCCAAGTTGGTTTTTTCCTCTTGTAAATGAAACATTTTCAATTTCCGTGTAGAGTAGACTAAGCTTAGTGCTGTTCTCCACAAATATTCTTAATGGTTTAGGATCTCATACTAGTTTCCTAGTTGGTAAACAACACTCATTATTCTAGGAAATATTATACCATTTAAAGAAAACAGCTTTGTCCATAAGAAATAAAAAAGTTAATATATATGTCAAACTTCAAAACAAGTTCAAACTAGTCCACAAAACTCTGGAGGAATTGAAAGTGAAAGTAAAACTTGAAAAGTTAAGGTGATAAGAGTTGAAACTCTAGCCAGGACAAAAAAGTAAACAAGTAAACAGTCTGCATCGATAACGTTTCATTTGACCCAAGAAAAGGTTAAATTGTAAACAAATAACATTGAACAGTATCTTTACTGTAGTAGTGGTACACTGGCAAGTAATTGGACAGTTATCTTTAAATGGTGGTTTCATGTATCAAATGTTACAAATTGTACATTGTTTTGCTATGCTTTGTTTAGTCTGCAATGGTATACGATCTTATGATTTAGAAGTTTCAAATGGTACGTTTATGTGTTAACTGTTGAATGATCTTGAAATGGTGCATCTTTATATTTACAATGTTCTTATGTCATCTATAAAATTATCTTTAAATGATGCATCTTTATATTTACAATGTTCTTATGTCATCTATAAAATTATCTTTAAATGATGCATCTTTATATTTACAATGTTCTTATGTCATCTATAAAATTATCTTTAAATGATGCATCTTTATATTTACAATGTTCTTATGTCATCTATAAAATTATCTTTAAATGATGCACCTTTATATTTACAATGTTCTTATGTCATCTATAAAATTATCTTTAAATGATGCATCTTTATATTTACAATGTTCTTATGTCATCTGTTCAATGATCTTTAAATGGTGCATCTTTATATTTACAATGTTCTTACGTCATCTGTTCAATGATCTTGAAATGATGCACCTTTATATTTACAATGTTCCTATGTCAATTGTTTCAGTGATGTTGGCTTGTTTTAAACATCCTGTACAGTAACACTGACCTGTATCAGCTGTTTTAGAAATCTATGCATTGGATTGCACGAGTTTCCTTTATTGTTTTGTCATATTGACCTATCTTGGATATCATTGACCTGTGCCAGTTGTTTCAGACATCTGTATATGTAAATTTACAATGACCTGTGCCAGTTATTTCAGACACTGTATATGTATATTTAAATTGACCTGTGTCAATTGTTTCAGACATCTGTATATGTAAATTTAATATGACCTGTGTCAGTTGTTTTTGAGATCTATATCCACAATATTGACTTGTTTTAGACATCCATATTTACATTGACTTGTATCAGTTGTCATAGACATCCACATTTACATTGACTTGTATCAGTTGTCATAGACATCCACATTTACATTGACTTATGTCAGCTGTTTAAGACATCAAAATTTACATAGACCTGTGTCATTCGTCTTAAGACATCTGTATAGTATTTTTACATTGACCTGTGCCAGTTGTTTTAGACGTCTGTATTTTCACATAGACCTGTGTCAGTTGCCTTAAGACATCTGAATAGTAGTTTTACATTGACCTGTGTCAGTTGTCTTAAGACATCTGAATAGTAGTTTTACATTGACCTGTGTCAGTTGTCTTAAGACATCTGAATAGTAGTTTTACATTGACCGGTGTCAGTTGTCTTAAGACATCTGAATAGTAGTTTTACATTGGCCTGTGTCAGTTGTCTTAAGACATCTGAATAGTAGTTTTACATTGACCTGTGTCAGTTCTCTTAAAGATCTGTATATTTTTTTGACCTGTGTCAGATCTGTTTGAAGTATTTTTAAAGGAATTATACGATTTGAGTAAATTTCTAGTACTTCAGAAGACCATTCCCAAAATCAACTCCCCAAAATGGCGCATTTATACATAGTTAGTCTCATAAAACATACTCTTATTCAACAAAAATAATTATTTCATGAGCAAATTTCCAGAGAACTATTCTTTCTTGGCATGGAGTTCAACCCATAATAAGGTTAAGTTGACATGACTGACTTTATTTTAGTTATTATGTAGGTCCAGATAAACATAAGCATGTACTGTATGTGACTTTATGTAATCTGTTATGTTTACTAGTTACCGTAAATAAAGTTTGAGAAGGTTTTGTAATAAGCATTGATTAAAATACAAAAATATTTCCAGTCTAAAACTTATACCATTACTCATTTACTGAATGCAAACCTACTAGATTTGGCATATTAAAGGGATACTACATCTTAGAATACACTCGTCCTGTGGCCATTATTTGTGTTTAATAGTAACCATTGGTTAAATAAGTATACATCCCACACTTTATCAAGTTTGAAAAAGCCACAATAAAACTATAATCATAATTTTTAAAAAAAGTGAGCAAGCGATGAATCGGTTCAGTTTGAAAAAAAAAAGAGACTGGGTAATCAAAGCTAAAACAGGAAACAATCATCTTCCGGTGTATACAAATAAACTTTGCCAATGATTAATATTCGTTGAAAATTGTGTCAGTGGTGGAGTATTCATTCTAAATTATATGAATTGCTTTTTCGCAGAGTCGCTTAATCTCCTACGAGGCATAATTATTCCGTCTTCAAAATATGTCTGACAATGTCGAGGTCAATTCAAGAGTAGAGGTCAAGGCTGGGTAAACCCCACTTGAGAGTTACTTCCCCTTGTGATTACACCAGATTTCCTAGACTCAGGATTTGAAAATCGCTTAATGGATGCATTCAGCGTGGATAGGGCAGATTATAGAAGGATTTTGATGTATGGTTCGGACACCTGGTAAGTCCACTGATGGATTATATACTGTTATCGGCCAAATTTGAGCAAAATTAAAATTTTATGTTCATCCTAAGACGTAGTATCCCTTTAACATCAATTTGATTACAAGATACATGGTGTCAAACAGAACCTGCTAAGGGAAATTCAAGGATATCCAGGATAAACAAGAATTAAGCTTAGGCCTATATAAGTTTCAAAGAAAATGCATAGATTTGTGATACAGTATCAAATTGACATGCCATTTCATTTGTGTTCTGAGAATAGTTTGTTTGACGACCGAGACTATATGCTTTGCAACATATTTAGACGCTATACAGCAATTCATTTCTCTTACAAAAACGTGACATTAGATTTTTCTGTTTCTTTAAAATCTCTGTAATGCAAAGTAATATAATCAATTTTTTTTACCAATTTCTATAACACACAAAGCACTTTCTTGTTTCTCCAAACAACGACTGTTATTGTCTCCTGAAAGTGAAGAGCTGATTGACTTGATTACTAGGACGGAAAAAAGGATATTTTTATGGAAGACAATCTATGCCAAAACCAACATCAGGTGTCAAGTCTTTAATCGAGGCACATATCAAATATATTGATTTTTGTTCAGGTAAAGAACAAGGAAGCGCGAACTCGATTGCTTGATAGCACAGATAAAACCCAGCTACACAGCACACTTATTTTAGGCGAGAATACTTGCAGGGGAAATCATGCAAAAGTAGCCTTTTAGTAGATAATCGTTTTCCGCGAAACTTGGAAATAGGCCTATGGGTGTAAATTAGGATATGTTTTTGTGTCAATGTCTATTGCGTTAATAAATTTCCTGGGAAGAATAGGTATCCATAAGCCATTTGTTCTTCAACAGTATGATTTTCTGTCTCGAAAAACACAACTATCTCGAAGATAAACTCAGGAAAATTTATTTTAATAAAGGTATAATTGATAATGTATCAACCAGTGAACTTTAACAGGAGCATTTAATACTAATAATATAACATATGAACATTTTGAAATACAAAATAACAAAATCAAGAAATTTATATACAACACTTAGAATTAAATTACATCTCAACAATGTCAGGACAAAACTTGTACCAATTTTAACTAATACCGAGCGATCTACATGTACATCAGAGACCGGGGGAATCCCCGAGGGTCCCTGCATCGCTTTGTTGATTATAGCGGGCACTAGCCATGGTAGAGGGTCATAGTATGGTAATAAAAAGGACTGCTATATACGGCATTGCTCGTGAGCCGAGGGTAATTGTATATTGAAAACATTAATAATTTTTTTGGCACATGCTGTGTACATATTGACTAAAAATATATTCTATGAAAAGAACTAGTAATATAACTAGTTAACAGATGATAATTTATAATTATATTAACAAACTGTTAGTTTGGTAATATAATTAGAGATTATCACCTGTAAACTAGGTTTTTCTTTTTAGCAAATTACAAACAAAAATAACATAATTCATTATAAACAATTTGTACATTTATTATAAACAATAGTGTTCATACATTATAAACAATATTGTATAATTTTCATTATAAACAATATTGTACATTATAGGCCATATGCAGCGCTCGTACTTTACCTAAACTTTGACTAAAGTTAAACTTAAGTCGAACTTTAGGTATGCACCGGTCGATCTTTACGAAAGTCGTGCTTGAATTTGACTATCAAATGTAGAAAATGAAAGCCTTAATCCTAACTTTGTAAAGTTCAACTTTATTCAAGGTAAGCGCGCTGCATACGGCCCTTAGTCCACTATCTATCAAATTTAGAACTACTGGCTCGCGAGGAGATAAACATTGAGTCTGGTACAAGTATAGGTCTAGGTAGTCCTATAACATTCGATTTAGCCCAGATGGAATGTAAGTTATGAGCTAACACATTTCGTATTATTCACATTTATTTAGAGAAATCCTATTTATACTCTTTCTTAAACTGAATTTCTTACAGGTTAACGAAAAAATATTGAGCTTCCAAAAAGGGCTTTAGGCTTGTGATTTAATGACAGGTTTCATATCAAAAATCAAAATGCACAGGAACAAAATGATTACACATTACTGCCAAATCGCACAAGGCAATCACACACACACACCATCACGCACATCATCATCACGCATATAATCATCACACATAACACACAAAGTGATGACACATATCAAAACAGACATACGTCTAACACAAAAAAATTTACAAAAGCTACCGAGATCACGTACAAAGTGATGGAACATATCAAAATGTACAAAACTACAGAGAGCACATATAAAGTGATCGAACACATCAAAATGTACAAAAACTACAAATAGATCACGTACGAAATGATCGAACATATCAAAATATAGACAAATACACCTGAAATCGCACAAAGAATGTAGTCAGAACACAAGGAGTGGATATCGAAGGATCAAAAAAATCCAGAAACTCAATTCATCGTGTTCGGACATTCAAAAAAAAGTTGCACGCATTGCAAACACAAACACGGTAGAAATACATTTCAAACCGCACTCAGTTCCCTTTAAGTCAAATATCATCTACTGTGAATTTTATATCCAGTCCAAATCTAAGTATGAGCTGCTCTGGTTTTCCAGTTATCCAAAATTAAAGGAAAAGTTTATGAAATCGGATTAATAGGCGGTCCTGATATTGGACTAACATAGTTCATAATTAACGGAAATCTGGAATATTAAGCCATCGATATTATCCAAAGAACTAGACTAGTAAATTTCTTTCACTTGAGAAATTGTAACTATCACGATTTGGTGAATTGTAGCTTTGGTCTTCTGGATTCGACACGCGTGTATCTGGAGAGATAAAAAGTATAGACCCAGTTTCATCGTCCATTTGCGCCTCAGAACTTGAACCGTATTCCGCCTCTTTTAAAACAACAAACTCCCCTGGTTTGGTGAGAAGAAAAAAGGCTCTCAGTGAAGCTAAACCAATTTGTATGGCTAAGGATATTACGAGCAACCAACTGGAGATCTGTAATATAGATGCAAAATGTTATATAGAGAAGGGGCCACACAATTGAGAAGAAAAGAAGCATAAGTTTAAAATATGACCAAAATACAATACCTTGACGTCTAGACCAGTGCTTTCAACAAGGGAGGAATTTACTCACAAAGAAAAGTGGTTCGTTGAAGATAACTAAGCGAGGTGCTATACGTGTGAAATTGACGTCATTCACCCCGGACACACCGAAAATCATGAACGAACACTCCACCCAAGGGTCACATTGAACCATCTCGATATGTGGAGTATGATTTTATATCCATTCATAGTTTTCAAGTGAAATATATTTAGAAATGACTGATTTATTTTGGGGAGAAATAGATTTGGAATAAATTATTCATGGAGGAATGGTCTCACTGAGGTTGAGAAGCAATATTCTAGACAACTCAAGATGATAAATTGGCTGGAATTTCTATATGGTAGCCTACTATCATTTTAAATGTGTCACTCATTCTGTTATTTATCAGAAACTGATAAGAATTTTATCTGAGCATTTATAGTATCATATATCACAGATAAAATAAGAGAGATTTATCAAAAACTTGGTGCTAACTGGTCATACGTTACTATGTTAAGGTGGTGGTAGACAGAAAACTGTCTGGGCTTTCAACGAGTGTAAATAACTGCCGGATTTAGTTGAGCGCACTGATGACTGAAAACATTGCAAATGCCGCTGTTGCTTACAATCTGGTCGAACAAGGTTATAACAGGGTATGCACGACGCCATTTTGTCGACATTAGAAACAAAATTTCATAAAAAAAAACCAGAAGAGTCAGCAAATTCTGGATTCATTACTTAATACAAACCTCTGAAACGTGAAGGAAGGTATAAAATGGTCTCTTTCTGTTAACTATTCTCCAAATTAAATCTTCAAACTCATTACATTCATATCTGAAATAAACACAATACGAAAATATAACATGGCATCGTCAAAGTCGCCAACTATTGGAGTTATCTGATCTTTATCACCAATCTGCATATGAAAACAGAAAACACCAACCTGTGCCAAATCCAGCTGGTGCAACTGCCCTTGATTTTTTTCAAGAACAATCTGCAAACAAGGCATCTGTTTATTGTCCTGTCCAAAAAACTGGACACTTTTTCCTATGGAATCTTTTATGTTACATTGGGCTATATATAAATTTCTCTTGGTGACGACCACAGCAGCTGATAAAAACACATTTAAAACTATTAAAGGTTACAATGTCAGTCATCAAGATCAATCCCAAAAAATTGTTGGCCCAGGATTCGGTACTGATTCATCCATTTTGCGATTGAGATCGATCTTTCTTTGGTGACTTTTTGACAAGAATGACAAGGGACAGACGTTGAAGACTTTATCACTCTGGAGAGAGTAAAATGTTGAAACTTACGTTTTCCCGTTTTTACGCTTTTGATATTTTTCTAGATTGGCACAAAATACATTAAAACCCCGAGTTATCATAGAACTAGATATGACCATACATATACACATTATACTATATAATACTGTCATTGACAGCAGAACCAAGGCCTCTTTTCTGAAAAGAGACACAAATTAAAGATTATGGAAATTGGTCCATACATAAATATACAGACCGATGTATGTAGTAGCAATAACAAAAACATTAAAATTATCAGTAAATTCTATCTCATTCCAAACTTATCGGCCTCAAACAGATCCTATTCTTGAGTACCCAGAGTACTTATGATACTATGGCGTGTCTAGAAAATGTACGAGGAGAGCATCCAGAGAGCTTAATTTTCACTTCTAAATAATACCCAATAATGGTCTTCCTCCAAAATACGCTCCTTATGGTACTATAGTAACCTTTTGGGTGCCAACAAACACAATAACATAAGCAGTGTTGGGTTAACCTAATTTATGGAGGAACACCGATAACAACTCCATGGTGCACTTAAGTTAAATTGCAGGAAAACTGAACGTCGAGTTTTTAATTCTGAAAAATGTTACGCAAAGGTGCAGATAATGGCCAGGGTAGCCGAGTGCAAGTCTTCGAGATATCACCTTTAATCGAATAATAATAGGCTTTGAATATGTAATTATATGATAATATATAAATGTATACATATAATCGTATAATAATTCTCTTGTCCTATTTTATACATTTGAGAAATGTGTAATTAGAATAATTTTCTTTGATTAGTATTAATATGAATCATTATTTTTATTCTAATATAACTGATATCGTTTAATGACATTGATATTTCAACAAACAATTTATTTGGGTTCATAAAGTGAAACTAAACAATGTTTATATATTTCATTTGATTACACAGTCCGAATACTTAACGAGGTTGTTATTGGAACTGCAGGAACCACAGACGTCTGATTGAATATTGGAATGATCCAAATTTATGTTATCAGTGTCCCCGATACACGTATATTTTTTTTTAAAAAAAAACCTCTTTACGATCCCTTTAAAATTTAATGAATGTTGTTTTACGATATAACGTTCTACATCTTGTAGAATAAAGAATCCAAGCAACGCTATGCTGTGTGCAATGAGAAATATTTTGCTGAGGTTGCGTTATGTGATCAGTTAGATGCCCTAGATTGATGGGATTATGAATATTAAATTTTACTTTCCTAGTTGTGCTAGGAAAATCATTATCCTTACTGCGTTATAGTAAACATTAACATAAATAATCTATAATATTGGCTACTATTAGTTGATGGGTAATTCAGTATCCAGGCGAAATTTCCAATTCTTTTCCTCTTTCATATGTTAAATGGTGCAGAAAAGTAGGACGTAAAACTCCATTCGTTTCATAACATTATCATATGTTAAAGATTTCGGTTATCTAGCAGAGTGTTATCTTTAATATGCGTATACATACCATATTCAGTTATGTAATATCTAACACAGGTAACATTTTCTTAGAAGGTGTTGGGGTTGTGGAGTTAATAGCCTACTGTTTTCCAATAACTACAAGTATTATGTTTACACTTTTACAACAGTCAACCGGCCTACTAATTTTAGATATTAGCCTACTGACCAGTAACTTGGTTTATATTACAAATTATTTTACTCACTGAAGCACCAATTTACATGATATGAATGATATTTTGCTAAAGTTCATCAGATATCCCAAATATTAAGGAATTACGACGAGGTTTTCTTCATTTTTTTATGCGTATCGGAGACACTGATAGCATCAATTTGCACCATTCCAATTTAAATCAGACGTCTGTGGTTTCTGCAATTCCACTAAAACTAAATGTTAAAACGCTAAGTTTTAGTAGAATTGTTACAACTAAAGATTGGAAATTGGAATGGCGAAAATCGATGCTGTGAGTGTCCCTGATACACATGCAAAATTTAGAAATCCTCTTTACAATTCCCTTAATCTTGAGGTTAAGGTATACATAGGCCTATAGTTTCAGATTTTGAGTTCTGTATCCAAAGTTATACCTTATTGTGAAACAGGCACGAAAGGGGTAAGAAAATATAAGATTAAGGAGAGTTAATATTATGTATTTTGAAGTCTTATTATATTGACACTTTATTGCCCTTATCGATGCTCGTCTTGGGACAAAAGATTTATATTGTCATATATCTTGAATGAAATGTGAAACGTTCCAATTTGAACATTGATTATTTAGGCCTGATCTTCATGAGGGCGAGGAGTGAGAAAGAGGGAAGTTTGTAAATATCAAAGTAAAGTACTTTCTATAACTTTCTATCCTACACATCAACTAACGTAGGCTTTGAACATTACTTGAAACTGTTGTGACTGTATCGACAATATGAATATTATAGGCCTAACCTAGTATAGATAGCCCAGTATGCAACTCAATGACTTATTAAGTCATGAATAGGCCAAGCCCTAGGCTGCTCAATTAAAGTTCAGGACAGGTATACCTGGATCAAAATATGATGATAGTCTACCATATATACACAGTCTATGATGATGTCATGTAATCAGAAAATATACCTTTAAATACCTACCCACCATCTTTGATCGTCTGCTTCATGTGAAAATAAAACCACGTCCATATAAAACAATGAATGGCCACAATCACCGGCATAAACGTTGTAAAGTAACACACTTCTTTATCTCCCCATTTTGTTTTTAAACGATTGACATTCACTGTTTCATTTAGGCCGACCACAGCCGTCACATTGCTGAATAAAATACAACTGGAATCAAAATGTTTAGTGACGTATCCCAAAGGTAAACAAATGCACATGGCTAAAATCACTGAGATCACATTTAATACATTGTGACTCCATCGTTTGGTTTTCACAACCAATGATAGAACTACCGATACAACCATTTTGAAAGATCATACACTTTATAAAATTTAAACCGGTATAATACTTTCACAGGTGCTATTTAGTACGACTCAAAAAGCCATCGACCGCCGGCTGATAAAAGTTACTCGAAAGGATGTCCCACATAATGACGTCATGAGGAATTCCCTCACAATGTCTATAAATAGTTTCGCTCGATAAAAGGGATATAAGACTAATATCGTGATTGCTGATAAAGTCAGTTAGAAATCATTCAGTTAAAAGATATCTTCCACTCGTAAAAATTATAACCAAAAATTTTAAGAGATTATTTGAGGAAAACATTGCTTTAATGAATGAAAATCGCGTTATTACTATATTATATAGGTTCTTTCTACTGTTCTACTGTTGTGTATCATTGCGTGTGTTCCATGTTTGTATCATTGGGTGTGTTTCCTGTTTCTACTTCTGTTGTGTATCATTGTGTGTTTCATGTTTGTACTTGTGTTTTGTATGTGTGTGTGTGTGTTTCCTATTTGTATTTATTTGCATTCTAGCTCTCTCGATGAATTGTCCAATAAACATTTATCATTATAATATTATATTATTACTTATCCAAATATCAAATAACTCATCATAGATTTTTAACACAGCATCCTCCTGTTATTGCAGGCCGGAGGAGCTGACATGAAAAATTAATCGAGGATCCCGTACGTATGCTACATTAAAGGATGCACTTAAGAACCCTGACATTGAAAAGAAAAGGTAAATGCTGCTGTTCTGGCAAAATTAATTTCTTCTTATTGCAAACTGCCTGCGTTGTTCATCTTTTTAACCAAACCACTACTTGGTCCCTGCAAAGACCAATTTTTTTCTTCTCTTTTATTTTCTTTGTCTTTTTCCACTTCATTTGTCTATATATAGGCTTAGTAAGTACGGTGCAGGTTGAATTATATCAAATATAAAATGACAAGGTTGTAAAGGTTACATTATTATGACCTATTTATTTTATGTCCTAATGTAACCTATATTTATTAACATGACACAATATAGATAAAGGAAAAGGCCGGATCTGAGTAGAAGGATTATGGTGTTTGAACATTCGCTTTCTTTATTACGAACAACACTATAAATTTCATATCCTTTTACACGAAGGTCCATAGCTGGAAGAAGGCTGCTTCAACTATTGCGTGAAAATACCATGCAGCCCCACATACTTCGCTACTCAACAGGACACCGATACCACACCCTCCATTGTGACTTCCTATGTGGCGTATTATAGAAGTTCATGGAGCAGAGAGTGTTTTAGGAATACTGGTCAACAGATGGAGATGTTTCTGGGAACCCTGGTGGAGACAGGAGATAATGCTTCACAACTTACCGAGGATAGGGTTTTCAATAATATCGGGAATACAGAAGTGGGTGGAGATGAGGACAGTTTAACAGTGTGCCTTTAGTTTCGCTATGCCTTGCTAATTATGCTAATAGCGTTTCATCAGATTCTTAGCTATTTGCCAGTTTTAGCGTTTTTTTATTGGTCTTCTTTGTATAAAACTGAAAGACAGATTTAAGTACCTTAGTATATGTTTATTACATTCATATCATAAATCTTATCATATCATGTACATAAACACCAAAAGAAACAGCTTTAAGCATACAGTCACAGCAAACAGCTAAGCAAAACAGTTTAAGATGTGGCTGGGGACTGTTGCAGGTGAGCCACTCTTGATCCAGGGTTTGCGGCCACCGGCCACATCGCTACCTGTGGTAATCGATACCGTCACAAGGAGCTACCGGGTGGTGGTAGACTGGGTCGTGTTTGCTGGAAACTGGGACTCGTCTTCTCGAAACTCTTGCAAAATGATATTATTTTCTTCCGCCGAATACGTTAGTTTATTTAACAAATTAGGAAATTTTCACATTGGACAACTAGGACTTTCTGATCGAACATATTTTATGTGTTTACACAACCCTCCTCTTTTCTAATCCGGGCTTGGGACCGGCAATGGCAGAGTTGAATATGTACATTTGTTTTTCTTTTGAGAAATCTATATTAAGAATTCCAAGTCACATCAGCAAGTCACATTGCTAATTTTTATATCCAAATTTAAATCTACTTAAAGGTACCGTATTAACTTATGATCTAGAATATAGCATTATCTGGAATATAGCATTATTGGTTGCCTAACATCAGCATTGTATATTAAACCATAACCAATTGTCTATCCTCTAATCAGAAAATTTAATTCCACCACAAATGGTTGTTCAACATATCTTCATTATACATTCTATACTATAATCAACATCTCATTATTATATATTCCATTTCAATCAGTTGTTCAACATCTCAATATTATATATTCCGCCTCAATCAGTTGTTCAACATCTCATTAGTTTATATTCCACTTCAATCAGTTGTTCAACATCTCATTATTATATATTATATTCCACCTCTATCCTTAGTCCAAAATCTCATTATTTATATTCCACTTCAATCAGTTGTTCAATATCTCATTATTTTATATTCCACTTCAATCAGTTGTTCAACATCTCATTATTTTATATTCCACTTCAATCAGTTGTTCAACATCTCATTATTTTATATTCCACTTCAATCAGTTGTTCAACATATCAGTTTTATATACTCCACTTTAATCAGATGTTCAACATCTCATTATTATAGATTCCACCCCAAACAGTTGTTCAAAATCTCATTATTTATATTCCACTTCAATCAGTTGTTCAACATATCAGTTTTATATATTCAACTTCAATCAGTTGTTCAACATCTTAATATTATATATTCCACCACAATCAGTTGTTCAACATCTCATTTTTATATATTCCACAACAATCAGTTGTTCAACATCTCATTATTTTATATTCTACCACAATGAGTTGTTCAACATCTCATTATTATATATTCCACCACAATCAGTTGTTCAACATCTAATTATTATATATTCCACCACAATCAGTTATTCAACACCTCAATATTATATATTCCACCACAAACAGTTGTTCAAAATCTCATTATTTACCACTACAATCAATTGAATAAGACCTCATTTTTATATATTCCACCACAATCAGTGGTATAAAATATAAAACACAATAAAATACTGTTTCTTTCAATATAATACACATAAAGATAGAGCTACTTCCAATATAATACACAATAAAGTTACTGCTACTTCCAATATAATAAACAATAAAAAATACTGCTTCTCCTAATATAATACACAATAAAGATATTGCTACTTGCAATTTAATACACTTAAAGATACTGCTACTTCCAATATAATACACAATAAAGATACTGCTACTTCCAATATAATACACAATAAAGATACTGCTACTTCCAATATAATACACAATAAAGATACTGCTACTTCCAATATAATACACAATAAATATACTGATACTTCCAATATAATACACAATACAGATATTACTTCTTCCAATATAATACACAATAAAGATACTGATACTTCCAATATAATACACAATAAATATACTGCTACTTCCAATATAATACACAATAAAGATATTGCTACTTCCAATATAATACACAATAAATATACTGATACTTCCAATATAATACACAATACAGATATTACTTCTTCCAATATAATACACAATAAAGATACTGATACTTCCAATATAATACACATAAATATATCGCTACTTCCAATATAATACACTTAAAGATACTGCTACTTCAAAAATAATACACATAAATATGCAGCTACTTCTATATACTACACAATAAAAATACTGCTACTTCCAATATAATACACAATAAAGATATTAATACTTCCAATATAATACACAATAAAGATATTAATACTTCCAATATAATACACAATAAAGATACTGCTACTTCCAATATAATACACAATAAAGATACTGCTACTTTCATTATAATACACAATATAGATACTGCTACTTCCAATATAATACACAATATAGATACTGCTACTTCCAATATAATACACAATACAGATACTGCTACTTCCAATATAATACACAATACAGATACTGCTACTTCCCATATATTACACAATAAAGATTATACTACTTCCAATATAATACACAATAAAGACACTGTTACATCCAATATAATACACAATAAAGATGCAGCTACTTCCAATATAATACAAAGATACTGCTACTTCCAATATAATACACAATAAAGACACTGTTACATCCAATATAATACACAATAAAGACACTGTTACATCCAATATAATACACAATAAAGATATTAATACTTCCAATATAATACACAATATAGACACTGTTACATCCAATATAATACACAATAAAGATATTAATACTTCCAATATAATACACAATATAGACACTGTTACATCCAATATAATACACAATAAACATATTGCTACTTCCAATATAATACACAATAAAGATACTGCTACTTCCAATATAATACAACGATACTGCTGCTTCCAATATAATACACAATAAAGATATTAATACTTCCAATATAATACACAATATAGACACTGCTACTTCCAATATAATACACAATAAAGATGCAGCTACATCCAATGTAATACACAAAAAGGATATTAATACTTCCAATATAATACACATAAATATGCAACTACTTCCATTATAATACACAATAAAGATACTTCTACTTCCAATATAATACACAATAAAGATGCAGCTACTTCCAATATAATACACAATAAAGATTATACTACTTCCAATATCATACACAAAAAGGATATTAATACTTCCAATATAATACACAATAAAGATATTACTTCTTCCAATAATACACAATAAAGATGCAGCTACTTCCATTATAATACACAATAAAGATACTGCTACTTCCAATATAATACACAATAAAGATTATACTACTTCCAATATTATACACAAAAGGATATTAATACTTCCAATATAATACACATATATATGCAGCTACTTCCTTTATAATACACAATAAAGATTATACTACTTCCAATATTATACACAAAAGGATATTAATACTTCCAATATAATACACATATATATGCAGCTACTTCCTTTATAATACACAATAAAGATTATACTACTTCCAATATTATACACAAAAGGATATTAATACTTCCAATATAATACACATAAATATGCAGCTACTTCCAATATAATACACATAAATATATCGCTACTTCCAATATAATACACAATAAAGATGCAGCTACTTCCAATATAATACACAATAAAGATACTGCTACTTCCAATATAATTCACAATAAAGATTATACTATTTCCAATATTATACACAAAAAGGATATTAATACTTCCAATATAATACACATATATATGCAGCTACTTCCGTTATAATACACAATAAAGATAATTCTACTTCCAATATAATACAAAATAAAGATGCAGCTACTTCCAATATAATACACAATAAAGATACTGCTACTTCCAATATAATACACAATAAAGATGCAGCTACTTCCAATATAATACACAATAAAGATACTCCTACTTCCAATATAATACACAATAAAGATACTGCTACTTCCAATATAATACACAATAAAGATGCAGCTACTTCCAATATAATACACAATAAAGATGCAGCTACTTCCAATATAATACACAATAAAGATACTGCTACTTCCAATATAATACACAATAAATATACTGCTACTTCCAATATAATACACAATAAAGATGCAGCTCCTTCCAATATAATACATAATAAAGATTATACTACTTCCAATATTATACACAAAAAGGATATTAATACTTCCAATATAATACACAATAAAGATGCAGCTACTTCCAATATAATACACAATAAAGATGCAGCTACTTCCAATATCATACGAAATAAGGATATCAATACTTCCAATATAATACACAATAAAGATT